CTGATCAATCTTTTACAGCGCCACTACATCCTTTACATGGCCAGTAATAATAAGGGTCTCTTTCGGCGCAGAGGACTCGTGTTCAATGCCTTCATTAAGCTCACATTCAGATCCTTCAAGATCTTTCACACAGTTTAACAGATGAAGGAATGCATGTAGTCTTCATGATATGTAATGTGCATTAAATGATGTTGAGCAAAATGCATTGAGTTCACAATCACACTTCTACTGAAGCCCGTTAATAAAGAATGTTCAAAGATAGCATTCTGAGACATAACAGCAGAATTACATGATATAAACTAGACCTGCACAATGTATGTCAATATCGGCATAATAGTACATACACTCACCAGACACCTTATTAGGTACACCCTACTAGTACCGGGTTGGACACCTTTTGCTTTCAGAACAGCCTTAATCCTTGGTGGCGTAGATTCAACAAGCTACTGGAAATATTCCTTGGAGAATTCCTCCATATTGTCATGATAGCATCACACAGTTGCTGCAGATTTGTCGGCTGCACATCCATGATGCCAATCTCCCGTTCCACCACATCCCAAAGCTGCTCTATTGGATTGAGCTCTGGTGACTGTGGAGGCCATTTGAGAACAGTGAACTCATCGTCATGTTCAAGAAACCAGTCTGAGATGATTGAGCTTTATGACATGGTGTGTTATCCTGCTGGAAGTAGCCATCAGAAGATGGAGACACTGTGCTCATAAAGGGATGGACATGGTCAGCAGCAATACTCAGGTAGGCTGTGGCGTTGATGCTCAATTGGTACTAATGGACCCAAAGAAAATCTCCCCCACACCATTACACCACCACCACCAGCCTGAACCGCTGATACAAGGCAGGATGATCCATGCTTTCATGCTGTTGAGGCCAAATTCTGACCCGAGCATCTGAATGTGTCAGCAGAAATGGAGTATCATCAGAGCAGCAACGTTTCTCCAATCTTCTATTGTCCAGTTTTGGTGAGTCTGTGTGAATTGTAGCCTCAGTTTCCTGTTCTTAGCTGACAGGAGCGGCACCCGGTGTGCTCTTCTGCTGCTGTAGCCCATCTGTCTCAAGGTTGGACGTGTTGTGTGTTCAGAGATGCTCTTCTGCAGAGCTCGGTTGTATCGAGTGCTTATTTGAGTTACTGTTGCCTTTCTATCAGCTGGAACCAGTCTGGCCATTCTCCTCTGACCTCTGGCATCAACAAGGCATTTGCGCCCACAGAACTGCCGCTCACTGGATATTTCCTCTTTGTCGGAGCATTCTCTGTAAACCCTCGAGATGGTTGTGCGTGAAAATCCCAGTAGATCAGCAGTTTCTGAAATACTCAGAGCAGCCCGTCTGGCAGCAACAACCATGCCATGTTTAGTCACTTAAATCCCCTCTCTTCCCCATTCTGATGCTCGCTTTGAAATGCAGCGGATCAGCTTGACCATGTCTACATGCCTAAATGCATTGAGTTGCTGCCATGTGATTGGCTGATTAGAAATTTGTGTTGACGAGCAGTTTGACGGGTGTACCTAATAAAGTGGCCAGTAAGTGTTTGCATCACAGACGTGTGATAAATTTAATTAATTTAATGCATTGGTTGTTAATCTTGATTTGACCAATCAGCTAAGGCCTTGCTTTCTTTATCCCCACCTCCCCAGTAGCTGCTATTCTGCTATTGGCTGGAGACTAAAGCTGAACCCAGAGCTGAAAATTAACACTACCGTTTGGAAAATTACAACAGCAAATCAGAGAAAGGATATCTGCTGAATTTTTTTAGTCATCCATAATGTCTAAAGAGTAAATGTTTGCACCTCGACACCTCGAGATCTGAAAAATGTTTTTTGCAATACTCAACAGTAGCCCTGATATGAACCCGCAATTACAAGAAATAGAGTCAGAATTTGGAGATATAAACTTACAATTCTGAATAACATGAAAAAAAAACATAATTATGAGACAAAAAATTTACAATAAGCTTTATTTCTTTTTTTTTTAAAAAGATTTTTAACAGCAGAAATGGGCATCCATACATTTTTTTTCCCAATAAAAGCTTTGTCTTGGAATTAAGTTTACATTTTGCAATTGCTAATTTTCATATAAACACCAGCCCAATATCACGACGAAACATAACTATTTACGTATTTAAATAGTAAACTGGCTAATTCATACAATTTTCATTTGCATTTGTAATGAGATCGTACAAATGAATATGAATTAGCCACTAAATCAAAAATGTACAAATTGATGTATTAATTGCTAGAACTTTTTACTGTTTCAATCAGAATTCTGAGTTTAGGTCCTGAAAATGTATTGCATTGTTAATAACATTGTAAATAAATAAATAAAACACATGTAACTGTGATTATCTTGAAAATCATAATTTACATACAATTCTATCTGCAAACATCTCTCATGTTTGTATGTCTAACTCACAATTCAGAAGTTTAACAACCTAAATTGTGCGATAAAAAATTGCAATAACCACTTTAATTTTTGCATTTCATGATCAAAATAAGCAGGAATGAGTCGATATACTCTCTAAAATAACTATGGGTTGCATTGAGCTTGTCCACAATTGAAACCTTAAAGATCTACATGCTGAGAACAGCAAAGACACTTTTATTCACTCATTCATTCTCCTTCAGCTTAGTCCTTTTTTCCACAGCGGAATGAACCGCCAACTTGTCTAGTATGTTTTACCCAGCAGATGCCCTTCTAGCCGCAACCCAGTGTTGGGAAACACCCACTCTCGCATTCACACACATACACTATGGCCAATTAAGCATAGCGCATGCGTTTGAACTGTGGGGGAAACCGGAGCACCCGGAGGAAACCCGCACCAACACAGGGAGAACATGCAAACTCCACACAGAAATGCAAACTTGCCCAGCTGGGACTCGAACAGTGCTAACCAGTGAGCCAACATGCCACCCACACAATCACTTAACCTTATTTAATACACTAAAAAGTGGTTATGTCAAGCCAAATTTGCTTAAAATATAGAAAAACAATCCAATGTTGGGTTAATTTTTTCAATTAAGCCCAAATTTAACCCAATTTTTGCAATAACCCAGCATTTCAGAGTGCATGTGTAAGCAAGCACTCAATTACTACCTGAACAACAGAAGCAAACAATAGTAATGCTGGCAGCACTGACTGTTCACAGATGCACCGCTGTTGCATTAAATGAGCAGCTTTATAAGCAGTGCTGCTGCTGTTTGCATTTAATGCGTCAGGCTTTTGTTTTAGTGTTAGGTGATGACTCTTCTGATCAGGACCGCAGGGACACAGACAAACACATCCACTCACACTCCTCTACAAATGTTATTAGAGCACCAGACAAGTGATCAAGAGCCAGAGCCTTTTCTTTCTGCTCATGAAAGCTACTGAAATTTGCATTCTGTATATTAACTTAAGAGCAACATTAACCAGAAATGGAACAAATATACAAAGATGATTGATATACAATACCACAATAGGTGCAAAAATACTAAAAACACAGCTGGATTTTTAAATGCCTACAGTAGGAGAAATGCTGAGCTCACAGCCGTTTAGACTTTATGCACAATCAAATACATTTAATTGAGTCACATTAATCAATCATAATGCTCTTCTTTCACTGAAAGTCAAGATATTCCATAACATTATCATATTCATCTTGATTTTAGAGTTTTATTGTTGTATAATTTGGTTGTCAAGAAATCATTTGTATTAAATTGCACATACTTCCACTAGTACCCCACTGTATATGACTTCTTAATCAATCTTTGAGCACGTAAATCTAAAATACATAGCTTGAATCACTGACAACATAAAATATAAAGATGCATGCAAAATTGTAAAGGTATAGTATACCTAAAATACAATAATTGGATGATTGTCAGTTGGTTCCAAACCTTCTTTCTTCTTGAACAATACATGAACAATATTGAAAAATATTGGTAAATGCCATGCAATTATGTGCTGGTATAAGATTCTGATGGTATGTTACCTTGGATAAAAATATCATGGCTTCATGGTATTATACTAAAATATATTCTTTTTAAATGTCCAAAAACAAAAACTTTTTTTCCCCTTTGAACACAATATATTTTATTTTGAGAAACGTTTAAAATATTTTGGGGCAGTAAACACGTCAGGCTAATTAATTCAAATGAATCATTGACTTCTGCTCTCTTCATTTGTTTCAAAAACACTTTTTTTACCATTTAAAACAGCATCTTTGGAGATATTTTTTGCTGAAACAGTATTACAGAAAATTTTGGTGGTTTTTAAACCTTGACTTTTCCAAACCACGGTATACCTTGAAAACGGTTATCTTCCCATCCTTACATGCAATGACATAGTATAAAAAAAGTCAATAGCAAAGTTAGTAATGAAAGTTAATGGCAAACAGCTGATTTGGAACTACTTGAAGTTAAATAAACAATAGTGTTTTTATCATAATTTTTGGGTGAACTATTCCTTTAATCATGAAGTATTCTGAAGTATAATTAACCAAATGGTTGGATTAAGTTGTCACATTATCATTAAGCTGATTACTAAATCGTTTTTAACAAGTTATACGTAAACAAGTAAACAATATGAAAGGAATCATAAAACACACACACAAAAATGTAAAAGTAAAGAATTACACAATGTATGCACTAAATGCTGGGTTGTTGTATCCCAACGATATGTTAATTAACTGAATTAAAATTAAATGTATTAATTCATTAACTATTTGTCAACATTTGACAATAAATCAGCATTTATAAGAATGTATGGCATATTTTATTGAACACATTAAAATAAAATGGCCACACACTCCTGAAAACTTTCAGACTTTAAATGAAAGCTACCTAAAATATATAACGTTAACTCACGTCGATGTTTTGTTGTGGAAACCACGATAATTAAAAGTTCAATACGAAAACGAGTGGGTTTAAGATTCGGACCTTGTGAGAACTCGCCTGAAAACGCGAACAGAGGACTAAGAATGAAATATAAATATGAAAGAAGAGTCTTACTTTCATTCAGTAGGCGCATTTCATCAGTCCCACAGTAGAACAGCAGACAGTGTGATGTTCATGGCGATGGGGAAGCAGAAATCCAGATTTCTTCGGAGATGTGGATGAACATTGCAGCAGATGCACCTGATCTCTGCTCATTTTCGCGCTCTCTGTCTGCTCCTTGGGCGCGCGCCTCCTCCTCAGCTGCTCAATATTCATCTCATTTATATTCATCAACTTAAACAGTTATTACCGCCATAAAAAGACATGTATAAAATAAGAAGACATAAGAGCCGTAATAACTCACCCGATTATTTCTCCTCAGAGGCAGATGTAAACTAATAGTGTCGATTTATTTGCGTCAGTTGGCAGTTTAAATCAAAAGTAACGGCTTAAATTCAGTTTGTTTAAGGTGTGGCTGGAGCCGTTGATAAACGTACGTGACTGTGCTTATTTTAAATTAGCGCGCCAAACTGCACCCCAACGGAATATAGCGTCATTTGAAGAAAGCATACTGAAAGACCGGCAAACAAATGGAGAAACAAACTCAAATATAGACAGAAAAACAGAGTATAAACAGAAAAATATTATACAGAGTGGGTGATTTATCTGTATGATCCTTAAGATTAAATATTTGTTCTTTAGCATTTGAGCCTTTTTAATGTTGAGAGGTTTATCTTGTGTTTTAGTTATGTATGTGCTGTACGACTCATTTCCAGTGGTGTAAAGTAATAAATTACAAATACTCAAACAACTGTAATTGAGTGTTTTTTCTGGAAATGAAAATCAGGCTGACGTCAGAATGCAATGTCAGGCTAATGTCAATGCCCCAAGTCCAATTTTAAAATGAACCAATTATCAATGTCTAATGATGTTACAGCTTGACGTTGTGTGGACGTTACCACTATGACGTCTATTAGACGTTGGATTTCCATACCCGATGAATAAATGTTAGTATTTGACGTCAATATGATGCTGGTTTAAGATGTTGGTTCGACATTGGTTTTTGGTCACTTTTCAACACAACCAAAAATTGAGCAAATATCAAAGTCATTTGACGTCATTATCAGACATCAAAATAATGTTGTCTTTAGACGCTTGCTAGACATTACATTTTGGTCACTTGTCATCACAACCTAAATCTAACCTAATATTAACGTCTTATGATGTCGTGTGCCTGCTGGCCAATCACTAAATGCACAACAGAATGTTACGTTTACACACACACATGCACAAATTACATGTAAACACATCAGCTTTTAAAAGCGTAATACTATGGAGTAGTTTTGAAAGGGCTACTTTTTACTTTGAGTAATATTTACAACATATTCATTTACTCTGCACTACATTTTTAGGTAAGTAATGGTACTTTTACTTGAGTATGACTTTTCAGTACTCTTTCCACCCCTGCAATTTTTTATTAATATTGAATGTGTTCAGCACTTTGGGCAATGTTGTGCTGTAAAAATGTGCTATATAAATGAACTAACTAACTAAAGAGATCATACAACTTTCTTTCTAGGCATCGAATGAGGTGTGAAATCATGTTGCGTTATAATTCAACAACAAAATATGCAGATACACTCAAGATGGTGAACACTTGAGTAAAGGACAAAAAACAAATTTGACAGAATAAACGCAGGTAAAGAGAACAAAAAAATCCATTCTGATGCTTAGCCTTGAATTTAAGACTCAGAAAAGAAGATAGACACCTTTCTTCAGCAGGGGACAGACATGAGACCTCTTGTTAACAAAAAAATGAAAGATGAAGCTAGACGACCAAGACTCCAAGGACTTATAAGCACAGTAATATAAAATTCTGTACAAATTCAGAATTCTGTTTGACGAATCTCTGCTGAAAAGGAAACAGCCTAATTAGGTAGTTCGCTAGGACAGATCACAAACGGGTTAAGCTGGATTAGAAAGATGGTTTTAAACCAGCTACGATTGCACATTACACATGAAATATTAGATGTAAACAATTACAGTGATTAATAAACAAATGTGTTAAATTATGTCAGCTAATCTTTTTTTTATATGGTGGATTAACATCAACATCTTATCACTACTCTTTAACACAGGACTAATATAAATAATCACCTGTAATCTAATGTTGTACTTGCTCATGCCTATAGATTGAGCACATACACACAATTTTAAGGTTTTCATTAATTGTTTGTTGCAGTTTCCCCAAACCTGAACTCTGAAACCCATACTAAAAAACATTATTCATGTGGACAAAACAATGCAGTCCTGTAACTACAAAAATATTGCAAAAATTAAACAAATATTTTCCTCAAAGGAAAGGAAACACTTCACCATTTTTGGTACATTGGTACTCTTTTTACTTTAGAGCAGGAACAGGAAAATGATTGATTATAACCAGGGCCAGACGGAATCTGCGGACGTTTTTTTTGCTATTTCTGCGGAGAATTTTAGTAAAATCTGCGGATTTCTGCGGAATTATTTTGAGAGTATCCAGCGGAGTATCATAACTTACACCTTAATATATTAAATAAAAAGTAATAAATTACTAAATAAAAACTGAATAAATTCAGATTTATACATTTACTCAAGTAAATAAATAGAATTAATAATGGGCTTAAAATTAGCATAAATCTGTGGAATTCTGCGGAAAATCTGCGGAATTCTGCGCGCGCAGATTCCGTGTGGGCCTAATTATAAGATACCTTCCAAACAGAAACCAGAAGATCCACAACATCACTTCAGCACAACTATTTTCCAACTTTATTCTGTGCTCTTTTAAACTAGAACCTCAAAATATTACTTACATTAAAGAAACGTAACAAGCAAAATACATCAAGAATTTAGTCAAACGTTAAAGTGAATCCAAAATAAAACAACAAACATCAACACTTAAGAACAAGAAACATTAAAAAAGTACAGCAATATTAATTTCAGGTGCTTTTTTTTCTTAAATATGCTTGAGCTCCACACAAAAGCAATATTATTATTGTAATATTAATGCTAAAGACCACACCAAGTTGAAATCTTTCCATCTTAACCAACTCAATAAGCCAAAAAACCGAAATATGGATCAGTTAATCAATAATTGACAGTACATCTGAACATACATTATAAATAAACACGTTCTCCGCAAGTCAGAATCAAAAGGGATTTCAGGTTTGGTCTTTAGTAATTAATATTTAACAGCTTCATAAACAGCTTTGAATTGCTGGTAAAACCGATCATGAATATGCATCAGAGTCTTTTATATCTGGGCTGGTGGGCTGGTATATGCCATAAGTCCATTTTTCAGCATCAAAACAAAGACCTGTGACAGATATGGGGTATTAAAAGTTCAATCCAAAGATTGTAAATTCATTCATTTATTATTTCACACCTCTTTCCAAACCTGTATGATGTTCCTCAGTGGGACAGAAGGTCTGTTAACTATCAAACAGAAGAAAGTCAGACAGGTCTCTAAAGACATTAGAGAGCTAAAATAACGGCAGAAGTCTTTTGTTTATAGGTTGAGCCAGTGTCTGCTCAGGTCAAGGCAGGGACTGATGGTAGAAAACATGAAAAAACTCTATTAAGGCACAACAGTGTATGGCTGATAAGGCAACATCTTCTGTCTGTCATTGATGGCGAATATCCAGGTAGGCTTCACAAAGCTCAGACTCCCATTTTCCATCAAGGCCTGTAAAAAGACAGAAGAGGCAGTAAAAGGAGATGAAAGGGTAGAAACTGGGCCTTGACTCGAGGAGACGCTTAATGCATAGGGGTTTTGATTGCTGTGCAGAGCGGCTGAAGAAAACCACATCAATGACTGCGGCTGAACAAAAACAGATCTGCATTTTCCGTCAGTGAAAACTCTCTCAAAGATGTTCAAATGTACATTCAATTAAAAGCAAACTTGTGTGTCAATGGACTCGGCTGAGACAGTTTCCTACATTGTCATATCAAGTCACGCGTTATGATGCAGTCACACTAGATCTTCAATTTAAACACTATAAAAATTCGAACATATGGGCCAAAACAAACAAGTGTGCATTATATTTTGGACATCAGCTCCACTGATAAATATCGCTATCAGCCAGAGTAAAACTTGCGTCATTCAACTACTAAATCAGGGGTTCTCAATGTCTACATTAAAAGGTCCAAATCTAAATTTTCAAAGGTCAAAGGGTCCAGAACAATTGATATTACATAACTTGTTTTTGATAAACATCAATAACATGCATAACATTTTTAATGAAGTGGCATTTGCATTCAAAACACAATAAATACAATGCAAATGGGCCACCATTCTGTACTAAACACAACAAATGATAGGCCAATAGTATCTGAACGCAGCCATTAGACGCAAGCTGAGATTGCACATCTCAGAGATGCAATGACAGACACAATGCACTCAATGGAGCTAGTGATGTCACTGTGAGGGGCGGGGTTAGGTGAGTGCATTAAAAGCATTGCATGCAGCTCAGATGTAACTGCACCAGGGGTCTGTTCTTCGTACATGGATTACTCAGTTAGCTGATTTGGTTATTGACGATTTGTCGTGATCCAGGATTGTTTCATTCTTCAAAATTGATCCGAGAGTTGTTGTCATAGCAACAGTTCTGGTAGCTCAAACCTGCTCGGGAGCAGGTTTATTTACTGCAAAGATAATACTGAAAGTATGTACCAAATGCTGATATTTTCTTACCTATAAACTATATACACTTCGTAAAATAGTTTAAAAATAGTTAAAATAGTTTATATATACACATTTGTAATTTATAATAATTAATATAATTTATTATTGAATAATTAGGCGAAGCAGTGGCGCAGTAGGTAGTGCTGTCGCCTCACAGCAAGAAGGTCGCTGGGTCAAGCCTCGGCTTAGTTGGCATATCTGTGTGGGGTTTGCATGTTCTCCCTGTGTTGGCGTGGGTTTCCTCCGGGTGCTCCGGTTTCCTCCACAGTCCAAAGACATGCTCTATAGGGGAATTGGGTAGGCTAAATTGTCTGTAGTGTATGAGTTTGTGTGTGGATGTTTCCCAGAGATGGGTTGCGGGTGGAATGGCATCTGCTGCGTAAAAAAACTTGCTGGATAAGTAGGCGGGTCATTCCGCTGTGGCGACCCCAGATTATTAAGGGACTAAGAAGACAAGAAAATGAATGAATGAATTAAATAATTAATAATACTTAAGTTTACATACAACAACGTTAAAAAATTATGTAAATAAAACGTTTGCAATCTGCACTCTGAAATAAAAGTACAGAAACTGGGTGGTTCTCCCCAAGGGGATCAAAGAGAACATTTATTAATATGGACTTTTTAGATACAAATGCATACTATTTTAAGGCACTGATCCAGCTTCAGTACAATTTCTGTATGATAATAGACATCCACAATACTCAACTGTTGTTTGTTTGTTCGTTTATAATGGAATAATAATTTATGCAGTCATGCACATGTTTTGACAGCTAATATGCTGGTGATTTGATGTTTTGCAAAAGTTGCGGACACCGTTACCAATATCAAAATGCTTTTTTGATGCAAAATTAATTTAAATGAAGAGATTAAAATAGGCCTAGTCTACTATAATGAAGAAAATCTACTCTAACTGTAAAACTAAATAAACTGTTAAATACTCTTGACACATGAAAGTATAAAGCCTGCAGCCCACAACAAATGTGGAAGGTTATTGCGTGTCATATTTAGCAAACCGCTTACTATGAATATGATCTAATTTTGCTCACATGGATAATTGAATATTAATCAGATAATGTCATTACACTGCTGTGCCGTCAGCCAATTGCTGCATTACTGATCATGATTTCGAGGATTGATAGATCAGTCCTTCAGAACACATGCAGCAATCTCAGATAAATAAATAGAAACACTGCTAAAAACAAATTGTGTTTCAGGTAAAAAGATGAAAAACTCACATCCTCGAAAGAGTCGTCCCATCCTTCACTGGTGATGACGAACTGGACCTTCTCGCTCATGTAGTCTTCAACAGCTCTGAGGATAAAATAAAGGCTTTGAATAAAAGTGCAGTTCATTCACTGGCCACCAGAGGCTCCAATTAGGATTTGACTCCATAGGCTTTCCATGCTAAAATGACCAGATTTACAGCAGAAACACGTTTACAGCTTGGTACAAAAAGTGGTTTAGCTGTATATAGCGAATATTCCTCTTCATGACAATTGTGAAAGGGTGGATTTCTTCTAAACTTAAGTTTAATTTATATTAAGCCCTAAAATTGTGCATAATTAAGGGCGTGGCCACTTGAGTTACAGGTGTCTTTTGCTCAGATAATTCTTGGGCATTATGTAGATCACATTTGTGCCTTTGTTTATGCAGCTTTACAGTCTATTGCTTTTCGGGATTATTTCTTAAAACAATCAAAAATGTTTTGCAGTTAATTGCGATAACTAAGTCTGGCCATTCTATTAAATGAGTAATATTTTTATATAAATTTCAACTATACAGTTGAAGTCAGAATTATTATATAGTTGTTGTGATAGCAAAGCAACTGTAGAATCACCACAACAGACTAATTTAAGTACTTTAATATATTATGATTCAGAAAGCCATACACTATTTATTATACATTGAATAAATTATATAAGTATACACAGTTGAAGGCAGAATTTTTAGCCCCCCTTTGAATATTTCTTTCTTTTAAATATTTCCCAATTGATGTTTAACAGATTCAGGAATTTTACAGTGTGTCTGATAATATTTTTTCTTCTGGAGAAAGTCTTATTTGTTTTATTTCGGCTAGAATAAAAGCAGTTTTTAATTTTTCAAAAGCCATTTTAAGGTCAATATTATTAGCCCCTTTAAGCTATATTTTTTTGATTGTCTCCAGAACAAACCATCATTATACAATAACTTGCCTAATTACCCTGACCTGACTAGTTACCCTAATTACCCTAGTGAAGCCTTTAAATGTCACTTTAAGCTGTATAGAAGTGTCTTGAAGAATATCTAGTCTAATATTATTTACTGTCATCATGACAAAGAGAAAATAAATCAGTTATTAGACATGAGGTATTCAAACAATTTTGTTTAGATATGCGTTGAAGAATCCCATTTTGAGGGATGTAAACAATTACAATGGTACTAATGTATTTCCTGTTTTAGATCTTTCATTTCCAAAGCTTCTGAGAACCCAGAAAGTTCCACATGTTGATACGTTTTATAATGACAGCCGTGTTAACATTAGGTACGACTGAATCCCCTCTTGTTACAGTTCTGAAAAAGTTAAGACAAGCCGGGACTGTTCATAAACCAGTGATATTGACATATTGAAATGGTCTATAACACATTCATGTGAAACACTGTCATACAATGCCAAGTCTGCATTTCAGACCTCATAGCATTTCATGATAGCCTAGCATTTAGACTTTATTTGATGTATTTATTAGCATTTACCACTTTAATGCTTAAAAGGGCTGCATGGCATTAAAAGAAAGCACAAAGTCAATCTAAAATTCAACCGAGCGCATGTGGCCAGAACACAAACAGGTCACCTTTAAAGGAAGTGTGAAGTGTTTCATCCATAAAAAGGGCATCTCTAGCTCCGACTATTCACCACCTCATTGCACATTTTTAATTATTAGGGAGTAATGCATGATTGGCAATTAGAAAAGCTTCGCCCACTTCATTTGCGCTCTTCAGAAATATATACATTAGATGTCGCCTAACCTGTTGTTGTCTATTGGATGGAATGCGTCAATAGAGCCGACATTTTTGAACAGGGTAGCGCTCCTTTGAAATGAATGCGGGACCAAGGTACAGTGGAGGACTGTGCCAAACCAAAGCCAGAGATATACACATATTTCTATGATCGGGAGTTTTCCTGGATGTTAGTATGCATTTTTTTTTTTTAATTACGAAAATTTTAATTTGACATCACTCTTCTACACTGATGGATCAGTGACCGCACGGGCATTCCTGACAAAAAGCTTGTGTTTGTGTGTACAGAAATGTATTATCCACCCTCCCTGTTAAATCTGATCTAATCATGTCCTGAAACACAGCTCCTCTTCTGCTTTCACTTCTCATACTGACGGAGGGAGCGATTCGTTTGTGAATGAATCTCCGTTATGAACGACTCGTTCACTAGCCAACAATAATACAAGTTTCTGGCAGTGCAGCATCTCGTTGTCAGATTTCTTTTGCATTGTTTGCTGATTTTATTCAACAAAACTAGCATAAGCCGAGTGTTTAGTGTGAGTTGGAGCTACTTTGCCTTATGGTGAATGCACTAAGTGACTGTTATCATCAATAACGTGACCTGTTGAATACAAAAGTCATAACATACCAAAACGTAAAAAACTTAATATTACCTATGAAATGTTCTGCCTTTGTGCTTTGTTTGCTCGTTACTACACTCGTAGACAGCGCTAAAGTCCCGCATCTTCACGTAATAACACTGTGTTGAATAGTGCGGTTGAATGACATTTGTCCTGGGAGCACTGTACCAATGTGGCGGCGCTACTGACGCATGCTCAGGGTCCCTATGCGATATCTAGTGTATATATCTATGTGCACTCTTAAGAAACCCTACTGTTGACATCATGGACACTATGTCCATATTTTTTAACAGTCTTTAAATCGCCTACAGCTTCTTAATCATCACTCTGCTTTAAATGGATCACACAGACACACTTATAAACACACGTTCATCTCACCCATTGAAGGCGATGATGTAGCGCAGAAGTAGTCTTTTTTGGTTGTCAGGGAACTTGCCGTAAAGATAGAAGCGCTTCCCCTTTAGGAAATCTGAAGGAGCGAAAACAAAGATGATTTCTCAAAGATCCTCAAGACTTTTTAGATGAAAGTGCAGCAGGAGGTGTCAGACCTGGCAGTTCAGGGATGGGTTTATCCTCCTCTTCCTCAGCGTCTGTGTTTTCATCAGTCGAGCCGCCATACGGATCTTCATTTTTACCCTTATCTGCGCTTTGCTCTGCTGCCTTTTTCTTCCTGCTCGCCATCTCCACCCTAAAATAGACGAACATAAACACTGGAGCATTACACATCTGATGTTATAGAAAAATCAAGGAACTCTTTGCCATTCCTAACCCAGCCAATGCATTAACTCGATACACATTTTAGGTAATTACTGGCATGCAAGGATTTACATTGAATTGATGCATTGAATTGATCAAAAGTCACAGTTAAAGCATTTCATAATCTCATAAGAGTGAGATCAAATCAGTTATCAGCATTAACCCTTTAGTTCGGCCTGTGCAAAGAGCTCTACAGAGTAAAACAGCAGATTATAGTGTGTGTGCAGAAACATACTATGTTATGAGAGCTGAGCTGCTTATTTAGATTTTCTATTAATCTTGATAAATGTCATTACAATGGAAGTCAATGGGGCAAAAACAGCCCCCAGCATAATGAAAGGGTTGTCATTTAGCCTACAGTGTATTGTTGAATTTGTTTAAGAATAACCAACTATAAAACACAGTTTATTTTAGCAGAAAGAAAGCAACCATCCCGCACGCCTGATCAAATACCCTCCTTTCAGCTCATACAGATGCATTTTAGACGACATCAACTCAATAATAATGAGATTTTACAGACAGCTGGGTTACACAAACCGGGGATGTTGAAGAACAATTACAAGCATTTATTTGCACATAGCGACAGTGAGTTTGGAATTCAATGCATTTCTTACCTGTTGAGCTCATCTTCGGTGTCCATGCCAGAGCCGTCATCACCTGTGAAGAGATGCAGGATAAACAATAAACACAATAAAGAGTAGGACAAGCATTAGCACAAACATACCTTATCATTTAATCATGAAGAACGAGATGCTTTGGATAGTATTGGAAATTAAAATGCTTCTTTTAGGGCTGCACAATACTGGGAAAATATGCAATATGCTATTATTATTGCTGAGTATCCCAATAACATTATTGCTTATGATATACCATTTCCCTTGAAAAATGCTGTTTTTATTAGCTGCTTTAATATCATTTATTTTTTAATGATAATAAAATAAACAGGTAAATTATATTTTTAAGATCTTTTTAATTCTAATTCAGACTAAAAAACTGGGTTTTCTTAGTCTTTAAAACACTATGGGCCCTAACATACACCTGCCGCAATAAGGTGCTTTTTTATAAGGGCTTTTTTGTTTATTTATGACAATTAGTTTTTGTATAATGTTATTATTATTAGCAGTATTATTTATTATATCCATATTTATATTTGTTTTATTAAGAAAAGCTTAGATTTGTCCACCTGTCAGGTTTTAGACCATATGGGGCACAGCATGTGTTTTAGGATATAACTCAGGTTTTTGAACACACTTCATTATTATTGTTCATTTATTCGTTTGCTGGAAAAAAGAACTGAATTTACAAATAGTTTTGAAGCAAATCTTTGCGCTTAACCAAATTATTTATGTAGGCTAATGGATGTCTGTGCGTACAAGAGGCCTAATGGAGGAGGCTCATTCTTTATTCTCGCGTTGCAGATGCTCTGTTTAACTGTTTTCTTGCTAAAGAAATGCTCAGTTTGTCCTCTTACAAAGTCCGCCATGTAAATAGCAAATCGTTAAAGCACAACGCAACTGACTCTTAAAGGGAATGGGAGACGAGACTCTGATTGGTTTATTCTCAAAACACACCCAGAACTCATTAAGAAAATAAGCTCAACTCTGTTAGACCATCGCGCTGGAGCGCAAAGCGGATTTTTCAGTCCTTAAAATAGCAAAAGTGGATACTGACATGCCCTGAATGCTTTTGCGCCCTGCGCTTTAGACTTTGCGTCTAGATTGTAAAAATAGAGCCCTATGAGGGAAACTCTGATTGGCTGTTGCCATTTTCCTCTCATCTCGTCTCAACCCATTAGTGTTTATTTTTAGCTCTGGGTTCAGCTTTGAGCCGCTACAGCCAATTGTGAACAGGGTAGGCTGTGCTAAAGTAAGGCCCCATCTGACCGGTCAAATTTAGATAACTAATATATAAACTACATTTAATTTATCACTCGTTTGCAATACTTGCATTTACTTTTGTTGCGATAACAATTGAGATAATGTCCAGTCCTACCTCACTTGATTACTTTCCACAGTAACACTAACAGTTACAATTTAAAGTGACATTCGTTAAGTTACTAATGACTTTAACAATAAAATGTACAAAAAGTACAGGAAAAGATTGTCAACAATCATACTTCAGCAGATGATCCTCATTTTGTTTAGATCTAGATAATTTAAGTTGTAGCTTAATGACTTTTTTATTAAGCTTGCTAAGTTAGTTGTAATTGTTAAATTTGCAGGTTTAAATTTTTTGATATTAACATTTGTTTATATATATATATATATATGTGCGTGTTCAGCTCTAGACAGTTTGCAACAATCAAGAGTTCACGCCACCAATCGAATAATTAAAAAAGCAAGAAATATTAAAGTAAGTTAAACAAGATCAAATGCAAAAGAAATAATTTAAACAAACAAAAACTCTGGTGCTGCAGGGGAATGATCAGGCAGCGGAAGTCAAGCCAAAAATGAAAGCTTTTCTCAAGAGAACAAATGAAGAATTGTTTTATCATGCACTCATTACTGGCAATGCAGCACATCTGTAATGCACTCCAACCTGTGCACATATGGGAACAAGCAACCTCAAGACAATAGCGCCATCTAGTAGACATCCCAGCACCAGGAAAAAATAAATAAACAAACCTGTAACAATAAATATAAATAAATAACTATATAGATAGATACACACACATGCAATTTTATATAAAACAGTTTTTCTTAAAACATCTTACATCTTATTGGCTACAGAATAAACAATTTTTGTCCAGTAACTTGCTTAGTTAACTAATCAACCTAGTTACGTTTTTAAACGTCATTTTAAAGGCTGGTTTATACATATCGCTGGGGCCCACAGCGCCTGCCTTGCGAGTAGTCGTGCATTTATACTTCTGTGTGCTTTTTGTGTTGCTCTGCTTTAACGCTTTTGAAACGCTAACTGGCAGCAGGTTTTTGTTTCTCTGTGTCGAGTTTCTTTATGGGTGTTTGGTTTTTTCTAAATGCTACCTTAATGTACAAGTAGCTCAAACTCGCTCATTCAGAGGCAGGAACCGGCGAACGTGCAATAGCTTTAATCATAAGGTAAACACAAAGCAGAAGTCTCCACCTGGAGCTCCTTCATAGAACACATGCAATCCCTCACTCCATCAGGTTTGCGGCTCTCAACACCACCCATACTCATCAGCGCTACCAAGCAGGCCAATCACAGAGCTTGGAGTTACCATGTATTGAGAGGTGCGCATCAGTGTCAGCCACAGCGAGGGTTATGCGAGCGCACAAAGGCCCCATTTACACTAATGCGTTTTAGTTTGAAAACGCAAGTTTTGCTATGGAAACGCCATCCGTCCACACTACTCCGGAGTTTTCGAGTGCCAAAAGCGGAGCGTTTTAAAAACGCTGGAGAGGCCGTTTTCATCCTTAAATGCTGCTGCTCCGTGTCAGTGTGGATGGGGGAAAACGAAGGCGGGGTTGCCGACATTCCCCTCTATGATTTGGGCTTTTCCTCAATATTAAGTAGCCTACACACAGCTAAAGTTCTGCATCCTCTCCTTGTAAGTTCGACTTAAGTAAGAAGTAAGACTTCGAGAGATTGATATGGAAAACAGACTATCGAGGACATGTCGGGTAAATCTTCAAAGGGAACGATGTACTGTATAACCTTATTCACATCATCCTGGCTACATTGTTTCACTTTCTTAACAAAAAAATAAAAACATGAAGGAACTGCTATTTTCATTTTGATATTAACACTTAACAGACAGCAGAAATGTTGAGGCGTCGTGCTGCATATATGAGCGTCATCTTCACTGTGTGCATATTTATAACAAAACGGAGCCTAAAGCAGGTCACACACTACAAGCGCCACTCGGCGCCACGACACCGCGCGCACATGACAGTTTAAAGTATCACACACCAGATGCGCACATTCGCATGATATTTAACATGAAACTAATCAGATGGCGCTCTGTGGCGCGGCTGAAATATGAACAGCGTCCTGAGTCGTGACTAGGCGCCGCCGACAGCCGCAGACTTGCGGCGCCGGTGTGTGTACCCTAATACAAACCTATGTTCAGAATTCTAAAATGCATGGCGCTGAGCGACGCTTTTAGTGTGCGACCTGGTTAACATTACTGCCTCCTTTCATTTTCATTGAAAATACGGTACCCTCTCTTTTGCTGAATATCATTTTTAATAATCAATAATGGCCATTATAAAAGTATAACGTACAATATGTTTATACATTATAGGAAATAAAGGCAAGCAATCAGTCAAAATACAGAATGTACGTGGTTAGATTAATTATCAATTGATCTCTGCGATCAGGCAAAACGCGCTACCTCAGAACAAGTAGTCTAATAGATTCAAAGGACCAAAGTCGGGGAATATGTTGTTAAATATGGACAACAAGATTAAGTAAATATCACGTTTAGCAAATATAGTGAGGTTAGATCCAGCGGGAGATGCTTGATGAACAGTCTGACTAGCACAGCTCTCATCTGAGTAGATAGGCTGCAGCGCTTGGCAGAGAGTGTGTGTGTGGTCATGTGATGTGCGTTTTGGTGTGGACGAAGAGCTGTACAGAAACGCTGGGTGAAACGCTAGTGTCGACGTGGATCGTTTTCATTCTAAAACGCCATTTTAAAACTAAAATGCAGTAGTGTAAATGGGGAGTAAGGCTGAGCCGGAGCAAAAGTGTTTGCTCAACGCGCAAGTATAAATCAGCCTAAAGCTGATAGTAGTATTTTCCAAAATAATTGGTTAAATATTATGCATGTCATCATGGCAAAGATATTTTTATGAGAAATTAGTTACTAAATCTATTTGAATATACTGTTAAAAATGTATGAAAAAGTCTTTCCATTAAGCCTCAGTTAAGAAATACTCGTAAAAGAGCAGATATTTCACATAAATTTGTCTTAAGCTGAATCTCCAGTATAAAATCTCTACAAATATCCTCATTGTACCCAAAGCCTCAGTCACAGTGATGCTCATAGACAGCGATTCACCATTTTTCTCTCTGAATGTCTTTAAGTTGCACGAAAACATTCAGGCCAGCGAGGTTTGCTCACGTCTGCTCTTGTGCTCCCTCAATTTACATAGAAATGAGAAACATGCCCAAGTCTCCTCTCTGCGAATGCTGCGGGCGAGTGTCTGTGCCGCACTTCCAGCCTCTCCAGCCCCACGGCTCTCTTCTGGCCCTCCAGTTTTTATTTTCCTGATTGATTGGAGCACTGCTTTACACGCACTTCATTAACCCGCACTCTTAAAATCCTGCGACATGCAGCTGAAGTGAAGGGACCCCACGGCAAACAGGTTGACACGTTAACGATTTTCAGGATGCATATATTTGACAAGCTTTGGGTGCTTTGGCCTCTTAAGAGGTGACGCAGAGAGCAACATCAATAAATCTTCCCAAACAGACATTATTGGTATTGACGGAGAAACACAGTGACGTCTTTAAATGGCTTTTTCGGCTTACATATATAACCTTACACTGAATCTGCTTAATGTAGAAGGTCATAGGCCACTCGTTTAATAGGAAAAAGGTTATTAGCAGAGCTGCTTAATGATTAATCATGACTAATCATGTATATACAGTATATCCATAGTCGTTTATGTATATATGTATGTATTTCCGCTACATTCATACTTATATTTATATATATATATATATATATATATATATATATATATATATATAGCTCCTGGCTAAACACATATTACGAGGGCTTAAACGGAGCAGTGGTCATAATATCGAGTGAAAAAAAGAGAAAGACAGCTGTGAAACATAACCTGCTTTGCCTTTTTGTAGGAAGCACACTTTAGATATTTTTAGGGTAAGAGTTTTTTTAATTATTGCCGTCTATCACTGAATGTGTCAGGAATATCGATTACAAAATCAACTTAACCGCGCTCATTTCTGGCGCCCCCCTGGATGTACAGCGCTCTTAGCATTTGCCTATATGCCACAGGCCGGCCCTGGTCCTCACTGCAGATTTGAAAGACACCGCCGCTTCCTCGTACTGTTGTCTCACTTCACCGCCGCTTCCTCGTACTGTTGTCTCACTTCACCGGCACTTCCTTGTACTGTTGCCTCAGCCTCACTTCACCGCCGCTCGCCATGTTAAAGTGTGGAGTGATGGTCAAGCACCCCTAACTTTAGAGCGTAGTGATTGGATATTTACTCGCGGGGAGGAGTTTCCTCATCTAAGCTCATGGACTTAGAGGCACACACAGTCAATTCGGGGAGATATAAAATGCACATAAATTATTTAAACGCAAAACCGAGAAAAACATAATTCACAAGCGCGTATTGAACCGTGGAGGTTGTACCGTATAGTTCAATATTATATTGAGAACCGTGTGGCATCACTAATATATATATATATATAATGCATGCGATTCATTTGAAATATTTAACACGTTATAAAGAAATTTAAGCAATTGCAGGTTTATTTTCCTGTTGTGGCCAACGTGTGGTAAACATGCAAAGAAATATGGCTAAGACCAAGGAAGCACTTATAAAACAAATAATATGGCATCACCAGGCTCTCCAGCGTTCCAGCTTTCGACTTCTGTTTTTATGGAATTTGATACCGCATGGCGAACGGAAAGAAAAACCTCAGCCTTTCGTGACTCGGTGGTCTTTTAAGTCAATTAAAAAAAAGTATAAAAAATTGCTGCTTACATGGTCGACTCTTAATAAGAGTATTACCTTAATCATATTAAAATTGGAGTATTGGTGTCCATGTAAATGTATCAGTGAAAGTGCCAGATGAAGTCGTGAGTTGTCAAAGACAGCGCATTCCTCTGCCTTTCAGCATGCGCCCTCCAATGTTTCATTAGGTTTGATGCGTTTTCCCCTTAAACGAAACTTTGTAAAGCATCTGCTTCACGTTGTTGTGTCAGAATCCTTGTGAAATACAGCCATACTTTAGAACGCTTAGTTTAAGCAAATTTGATGAACACGAATCTGAAGGGAGTCACTCCGGCTACCCTGTCCTGCGTGCATTGTGTGTGTTTGTGTTTGTGTCTGTGTGTGTGCCCGCGCGACAAACCTACCAGTAACAAACCTGCCTAAATGTTGTTGTCCTTAGCCACTAAATCAAAAAGTTACGAATTGCTGTGAGATTACGTTGCACTCTCAGCTCACATCATTCAAAAGAAAAGGTCCACATTGTTTTTTGCAGTCCACTTAGAATCCAACATGGAAATCATTTTTTTCTTTAATGGCATTGATTGTTTTGAAATTCAGATGACATTAACATGCCTGTGTTTTTATTTCTGTAATAAATAAGGCTGTTAAGCCAGGATCTTGATAGTTTATTGTGGGTTTGTTGTTAACATGAAGAAATCTGTGTTACAAGTTAAACAAAAATTCTATTAAACAATTATATTTTGAATTTAAATAGTTTTTGTCTTGCGTTTACATTAATTTTACATTTGAATAGACAAAATTACAAGTTTCAGTCTTGTATAGGTGATTAGTCACAGTTAATAAAAAAAAATGTGATTAATTAGTTCATTTTTAATCGATTGACAGCATTAAGAGCTGCATATTTAAACAAAAAGATGGCGATCTCGATTCAACCCCCTAGAGCAGGGGTCACCAAACTTGTTTCTGGAGGGCCGGTGTCCTGCAGATTTTAGCTCCAACCCTAATCAAACACACCTGAACAAGCTAATCAAGCTCTTACTAGGTATACTTGAAACATCCAGGCAGGTGTGTTGAGGCAAGTTGGAGCTAAACCCTGCAGGGACACCGGCCCTCCAGGACCGAGGTTGGTGACCCCTGCCCTAGAAGATCTTAATCCAGCATTGCAAGAACATGCAAGAATATGAACTGTAAATCCATTTCTTCTGTTCCCACTTTTATAAGTTGAACACAATCTTGGTCTAATTCAGCAACTAAACACATCTCTCTAGATCAGGGGTGTCCAAACTCAGTCCTGGAGGGCCGGTGTCCAGGAGAGTTTAGCTCCAACTCTAATCAAACATATCTGACCCAGCTAATCAAGCACTTACTAGATATACTAGAAACTTCCGGGCAGGTGTGTTGAGGCAAGTTGAAGACACCGGCCCTCCTTGAGTTTGGACACCCCTGCTCTAGACCAAACAGTGCTGATTGACTCTTCCTGTAGTCATGTCTTTACCTGGGCCTTCTTCATCCGTCGAGCCTCCATACTCCTCCTCCTCCTCCTCTTCCTCCTCAACCGGCTGCTGCTTTTTAGGAGTCACTGGCTTCTTTTCTGGTGTTTTCTAGGAAAGCATGACAGAAACGGCACTTAATAAAATCGGTTTCGCATTATCGCCGCCGATGAGCCATTGATGCGTGTCAGGAAGTCAACGAATCTCAGAAGAAAGTCTCCATGGCAACAGCATGCAGCATCAAGGTTATCAAGACCATAACCGAAAGAGGAACACATAAGATGATGACTAAAATACATGAATTATTACCGCTTTCGGAGTTTCCTCCTCACTCTCGTCTTGTTCCGCTTCACTCTCTGAACTGGATTCAGCTCCATCCATCAGATACCTGGAAAACAGCGGACTGAGTACTGCTGACACCGCATGGGAACATTACATATACAGCTGAAGTCAGTCATAGAGTTTCAGCAGCCTTTGACTACATTTGTTCTCTTTAAAAAGGAAATACTTAGTTAATATGTAGCTTAGATTGACATAAGACAAAATATTATTTTATTTCTTCTTATTTTTTATTTATTTATTTATTGTTCTCTTTATTTTCAGAGTAAAATTATTACTTATGATTAAGTCCAAAGGGAAATGAACTATTGTTTGTGTTTATTATGATTTCGGGCTGTATTATTTGGTTACTAAGCAGCAATAAATAACACTTTAAAATGAAAGGAGTGTTTAATTAATGAATGCATAATAATGGTGATAACCATGAAACCGTATTTATTCCTCAGACTATAATTGTACAGCCTAAATCTATAATAGTGCATGACTAACTACTGCTAAAAATTTCTTTAAATCGTGTAGGAAAAACACACACAAAAAATCCACATAAATAGCTATATGGACTTTACCAGTCAGGATTCAGAAAGGGAAACAGCACAGAGACAGCCTTGGTTCATGTCATTAATGACCTGCTTGTCTCTGCTGACTCTGAAGCTTCTGCTTAGTCTTGGTCTACTTGGTATATCGTGTTCTTAATAGATCTCATTGCAGCATTTGACACGGGAGCGGATTTAGGAAATAAGCAGCAAGGTAAGCGGCCGCTTAGGGCCCCTGGAAAACAGGGGGCCTCCTAACAAATACCTAGACGTATAAATTAAACCTATAAATTATATATATATCATTGTTTTCTAGCATATTTTGTACGATGAGGGTCTAAAATATTTTATTTGAACAAAATTTGTCCCCACCTTAAATCATGGACCAGTCCAGCAGTTAAATCAGTAAAGATTTAGTTTTAAAAACAAAATTGTTCATTTATTATTTTTAGTTGTGAATTCCTTTTAAGAAAAACAAATTGTTTAATATGTTTTACAAAAAGCTTTATATGTTATTATTAAGAAGATTTTTATTTAATTATTATTATTATTATTAAAAGAAAAAAAACAGCAAAACAACACAAAATTTAAAGAACAAAAGGTGCATTTTAGAACTTTTGGGCCCCATGACTGGAAGGCCCCAAAATCCCTAAATCTGCCCTAGACAGTATGTCACCCTTTATTGTTAAACAGGCTGGAGAAATGGCTTTTTATCACTGGCACTGTACCTAACTGGTTTAAATCTTATTTTTTTGGATCATTTTCATTTAGTAGACATGCATGTATAATAATCTGATATCTGAAATAATCTGAAATTGGACAGGTCTGCCATGGTGTGCCTCAGGGGTCGGTCTTAGGTTCCATACTTTTTAGCATTTATATACTTCCACTGTGGCAAATCATCAGCAAGTATGGACTAGGACACCACTTTTATGCTGATGACTCCCAAATTTATATCAGCTCCAAATCCAACCGGTCTGTAACTGTCTCAATCCTAACATTAACATCCAGCCTAAACATTAATTACAATTATCATTTCTTTCCACAGCCATTTTTAAAAATAGCAGATAAATAAGCTTGGATGGACACTTCACATCATGGTCCCATCAGGATACACAACAGAGTCGATTAGCGTGTGTGTGTGTGTGTGTGTGTGTAGAGTGACGTACACATGCACGGACAGATTCACCCTCCTCATCTTCAAAGGAAGGGTCTGCTTTAATTACCCATAGCAGATGGAGCTTTTAAATACAGAATACATAATCTGAGGTGGCACTCGAAGCAAACACAATGGAGATCCAGAAGCACACAAACAAATCCACAGCAACAAACCCGAGCAAACCAGACCACTGATAAACAAACACTGAGCTTAATGCAGGCTTTTTATCAAGCAGATCTGTTATAATGATCACTGCAGACAGGAAATATACCAAGAAAACAACAACATAAACAACATCTATCTATATATCTATAGTAGGGATGCACAATATATCGGCGGCTATGTCAATATCGGCCGATAAAATCTATTTAATATTATCATTATCAGTACAATAACAAAATTAGGTTGCTATCTTTAGGAAATATAGCTAGAAAACAACAACATAAACAAAATCTATCTATACACCTGTAATAGGAACACATGATAAATCAGTTGCCATATTGATAGTCAATCATTTTTATTTTTAATATTAAAGTTATTGGTACAATAACAAAAGTCAATATATATTTCAGAAATATAGCTAGAAAACAACAACAAACATATATCTATAGTAGGGATGCACAATATATCGGCGGCAATATCGATATCAGCCGATAAATGCTATTTTTAATATTACTGTTATTGGTACTATAACAGAATTGGGTAGATATCTACAGGAAATTTAGCTAGAAAACAACAACATAAACATCTACATATACATCTGTAGTAGGGAAGCATGATATATCAGCGGCTATATCAATATCTGCCGATAAATACTATTTTCATATTACAGTTATCGGTACAATAACAGAATAAGGTAGATATCTTCAGGAAATATAGCTAGAAAACACAGAAAACATACAACATCTATCAATACACATCTATAGTAGGTATGCACAATATATCGGGGGCCATATCGATATCGGCCGATAAATGCTATTTTTAATATTACTGTTATCAGTACAATTACAACATTAGGTCGATATCATGAGGAAATATAGCTAGAAAACAACAACATAAACATCTATAATAGAGAAGCATGATATATCAGCGGCTATATCAATATCAGCCGATAAATACCATTTTTAATATTATAGTTAGCGGCACAATAACAAAATTAGGTGGATATCTTGAGGAAATATAGCTAGAAAACAACAACATAAACATCTATAATAGAGAAGCATGATATATCAGCGGCTATATCAATATCAGCCGATAAATACCATTTTTAATATTATAGTTAGCGGCACAATAACAAAATTAGGTGGATATCTTGAGGAAATATAGCTAGATAACAACAACAACAACATAAACAACATTTATCTATACATCTATAGTAGAGATGCACAATCTATTGACAGCCATATCGATATCGGCTGATAAATGCTATCAATCAATGCTATCGATCAATCAATCACACAAGCAGGTGAATATCTTCAAGAAATATAGCTAGAAAAAAACATCTATCTATACATCTATAGTAGGGATGCACAATATATCGGTGGCCATATCTATATTGGCTGATAGTTCTTGGCACAATCTTTAGGAAATTTAGATAGAAAACAACAACAGACAATATATATCTATACATCTACAGTAGGGATATTGATCATACATGTTAGGCTTGGGCGGTATTACGGTATTATGGTATACCGCGGGATCTAAAAATAGCAACGGTGTCAGTTTCAATACTGTTATACCGTCATAAAATATTAAATATTCTTTATTTAATGCCTACAAAAACGTATGTGTGGTTGTCATCACGGGACAGTGTGGAGGAGAGAGGGAAAGGAAGGGGGAGAGGGAGGGAGAGAAGGGGGAGAGGGAGGGGGAGAGGTGACGTGACGTGACGAGTCGCGCTTAAGTGTCCTGCAGTTTGGCAGTTTCGACTGAACAGAAGGGAGACGTGGTTAATATGAACTAGAGGTCTGCATTAGAGCTAAAGATCTTTGCCCGAACCCGGCGAGACCCGAAAAAATCCAAATCCCTGCATTAAAATCCATCCCTGCAAAGGTGAAACAAACTATGAAGAAGTAGTAAAAAAAGAGAATTTTGACGGCGGTCAAGTCAGTCACTAGCTCAGAAGGAGCTTCTCGGTCGCTCATACACTGCGTATTACGGTAGAGCCCTAAACCGCAAGCTGACAGGTAAAAAGAAGAGGCCATTCGCTAAAGTGAAACTGCTGTCATGGCAAATTAAATGCATGTTCCTGACTGGTAGAAGATGAACAAACAATCCTACCCAAAACTTGCAAAATCAGCCGGATCAGAACTCTGCATCCCGACCTGTAGCAGCAGGAAAGGGTGTTCAGCTGCTGGACGCACCATGAGTGAGAGACTGCGCTAAAGCCAGTGGATTTAATAATGTTCCTCCACAAACACACGTAGCCTAATCTTGTTGAGTAAAGGGTTTTTAAATTATAAATAAATATTAATTAAACCATATAATCATAATGTAGACAGAGTATACAGGCTAATGGTGGCATTATTCTTTTATTATTCAGCTTCACCGCCGCCCTAATGCCAGATTGTGAAGAGAAGTGGAGAAACACATCTTGCAGAGCCTTTATCTTAATTTCGTTATTGCCAAAATACCCGTCATCATTTAGAGTTTATTTTAATTTGATTTGTTAAGCAAGATTACTTTTCATTGGTGTGTAGGCTAATTTAAAGGCTAAGTGCATGTACCTAGACCTATAGAGTGCTGAGATGTTACGATGTTACAGCTGTAGGACTTATTTTATTTCTTTGTTCCAACTTTCAAGTGGCCTATAGTCTACGCTTGTTACGAATAAATGATGTTAAAACATATAAATGACTCATTCTTGAAAAAAATGCATTAGAGCGGTGTGCATGAGCACATTTTAATGTAGGCTGTGAACGGGTTTGGGCTGTATAAAGCTGTCAATCAAAATGTACCTGTCGGACTCGGGACCTATCAGGTATAATTTTTATTGCCCGATTACAGCTCTGCATTCCCGCTGCAGTACCGCGGGAGCCGGCCAGATTTCTTACAGTGTGGGAGTAAATTTCTGAATAAATCGCGGGAGAGATGTGTGTGTGTGTGTGTGTATGTGTGTATGTGTATGTGTAAAAGAGAGAGAGAGAGGTGCTGTGTGTCGCTTTGCGCGCTCTCTCTCTCTCTCTCTCTCTCTCTCTCTCTCTCTGCGAGCCTAAGGTCGCATAGTATGAATGTATGAATGTACTGAATGTATTCAGTTTCTGAATGGTTTAGGCTTAAGCCAACAGTTTGGTGACGCTGTCTGAGCCTTACGTCATAATTTTTTTTTATTACGCCGGTAATACCGGATACCGGGGTAAAATATGGAGGCGGTTTGACGGTATCAAAATTTGGATACCGCCCAAGCCTAATACATGTACATATATTTATAATATATTTAGCAAAATATAGTGGTTAACACCATTAGAATGACAAATATGCATATATAGGATTAAATGTATTATTATTATATTTTTATGCTCATATTTGACCATTTATTAATGAGCATCTGCAAAATCAGTGCAGCATCTGCATGAGTTGATGGCAAATCTCAACTCAATACCTTTGTTATATTAGAGCAGGCACAGATCGATCTGTGTTGCACTGTAGTCTGCGTCCCTGAGGATCCTGCACTGTATGGCTGTAATTCAGTTTTATTGTATTCATTTCTGCAAACTGTCAGAAAAAACCCATTGTGCTTTGTACATTCAGCCCGTATTATGATTATAACTACATTTAAAAATGTCTGAAGCAGTCATTCACCTACTATTGCAGCATTTATTAATGTAGACCTAGATTCATTTGTAGTTTTTAGTTAGCCGTTCTTCTGCGTTATAGAGAACTGTGACATTTTCTAACAGGACTTTATCGATTTCATGAAAAATGGCATTTAAGACTTTTTTTATACCTTTTAAGGGCCTTAAATCTCTCTAATTCTATTGATCAACTTTTAATACTTTAAGACTCCACGGACACCCTGACAAAGAGCTGCTCTCACCGTTTGCAGGAGATCTTCTGCTTGTTCTTATGGCAGTCCATCACCCACTCCTTCCTGACGATGATTCCTCCGGCTGCCTTCACCTGACTGTACTTGGGTGTGTTTGCAAACGCACAGCTGAGGAGAAACAAACACAAACGCTCAGAGAGACTCTAATAGGCTGAAAGCAACGCAAACTATGTCTGATACAGGACAATGATGTAGACAAACAGGAAAACTTGAGTTTTCTCATGCTTTTTAAATCCTGCATGACCCATTAAGGTTATTAAAGGGCACCTATGGTGAAAAATCTACTTTTCAAGCTGTTTGGGCAGACATGTGTGCAAGTATAGTGTATAGACCGTCATATTAGGGTGATATAAACACACACAGTCCTTTTCTTTTCAATTTAACAACATAAAAACGGTGGACCAACAGTTTTCAGACCAACCGCAACTTTACGAGGGAGAGCTGTCCGGTAACACTTTATAATAACTACACACTATAAATCATTTATTAAGCGTTAGCAAACAGTGAATTCATTATCTGTTAAGCATTAAATCTACATTGATAAGTGTTAGTAAGCAGTTTATAACTGCAGCTACAAATGCTCTAGTCTTGACTTATAAGCACCTATATAATGTGCTTAATAATTGTATTTTCATACTCTGTTAATGATTTGTTTTTCATTGGTAAATTAAGTATCGAATTATTTACAAACCGTTTGTATTTAAGAGTAGTTGAGGGTTTTTAGGATCATTCAGAATGAGATAGTAAATGATTAATAATAAACTAATGAAATCAACATTTATATGTCTTATTATTCAGGTTTTTACTAATAGTTAACTAATATGTTAGTAAATGCTTTATTAACTCAACTTCATGCAGTTTTGTGACGTAATCTAAAGTGAGGACTATTCATGCTTAATAAATCCCTTATAAATGACAAATAAAGGCTCAGAATCAAATGAATGATAATCTGTGCAATCTTTCTAAAAAGTCAAATTACTGTAAAGTTTAAACATTGCTAAATAACAGGAGCGACCTATATAATAATTTAACAATATAATAAGATGTAATGTTAGATCAGGTTGCAAAGCTTTATTTTTCATTTGAAGTGCAGTTTCATTTGTGTATCTTTAAATGAAGAGAAATGAATAATGTATTTTTTTTTCCTGTTTAGAATTTAACTGAGCCTTTATTTGTCATTTATAAGGGATTTATAAAGCATAAATAGTCCTCACTTTAGATTAGGTCACAAAACTGCATGAAGTTGAGTTAATGAAGCATTTATTAACATATTAGTTAACTATCAGTATAAGCCTGAATAATAAGACATATAGATGTTGATTTCATTATTTTATTAATCATTTACTATCTCATTCTGAATGATCCTAAAAACCCTCAACTACTCTTAAATACAAACAGTTTGTAAATAATTCGATACTTAATTTAGTAATGAAAAATAAATCATTAACAGAGTATGAAAATACAATCATTAAGCACATTATATAGGTGCTTATAAGTCAAGAATAGAGCATTTGTAGCTGCAGTTATAAACTGCTTACTAACGTTTATTAATGTAGAGTTAATGCTTAACAGATAATGAATTCACTGTTTGCTAACGCTTAATAAATGATTTATAGTGTGTACTTATTATAAAGTGTTACCAGCTGTCCCCCCCGCCCACCAATATTGATTGACAGCTTCGCGTCACGATCATATCCTCAGTTTCTTGTTGCATGTCCGCCATTTTCAGCGTGCAAGTCAAAGCGATATCACTAAAGGAACACCCTTGCTCTATTTTTTTGATGAAAAGCTCATTGGGCTCAACCCAAGATCAATATTCTCCACATTATCGCTTTAATCAGAATTATTGCTTGTACCTAGTGCATGGCGTGGCGCCGTGCATTTCGGAGTTCTGGCTGTGGGTTTCTGTCGGGGTGCACGTGGTTCGGGTCAGTGGCTCGGCGGTGCTGTCGCGGAGCCCGCAGCGCTTTTGTGTTTGCCCTGGTGGAGGCTTGTGTTTGGAGTTCTGGAATGCGTGTCGCGACGATTCGGGACGCTTCATGTTTCACTGAGTGTCTGTTGTGCCATGTCACGGCGCATTCAGTGCCTCAGTCAAAGTTAATTCAGTGCGTGTGTGTGGTTATTAGTCTCGGTGTACAAGCTCAGCACTTAGAGATTATACAAAAACACAAATGATTTTGTACTCTCTGCTTGGTCTGTGTCCAGAGTTGTACATGTACGCCTGAATGCTCATCCTAGCTTAGCTTAGCTTCTCTCTCTCTGTCTGACAGCCTGTCTGTTGTAAACACAGAACGTGGGAGCTTTTGGCTCCGCCCCCTTGTTAAGTTGAGCGGGAAACCGAAACTGTGAAGCAACACACCCCAAAAACAACGAGCTGTGTACACGCCCCCAACACGACACTTAACCAATTATAATAAAAACATCTGAACTGTGTGTTGAACTGAACCTAAACTGGCACACTCAGAACAACCAGAATATTAATATTAAATCATAAAAAATAGATAAACTATGTGCCCTTTAAGAGACTTATTTCTTATGTTGATGAACTTTCAACTGAAACTGAATATTGAGTAGGGGCGGGGCTTTCTTCTGCACATCATTCCTACGTAGCAAACTAATAGTATCACCCCATATCTATATAATAGGGCGGTATGGTGGCTCAGTGGGTAGCACTGTGGCCTCACAGCAAGAAGGTCGCTAGTTCGAGTCCCAGCTGGGTCAGTTGGCATTGTGTGTGGAGTTTGCATTTTATCCCAGTGTTGGCGTGGGTTTCCACCGGGTTCTCCGGTTTCCACCACAGTCCAAACACATGCGCTATAGGGGAATTGATGAACTAAATTGGCCATAGTGTATGAGTGTGTGTGTGTGTGTGTGTGTGTGTGTGTGTGAGTGTGAATAAGTGTTTATAGGTGTTTCCAACTAATGGGTTGCAGCTGGAAGAGTATCTGCTTTTTAAAACATGTGCTGGATAAGTTGGCAGTTCATTCCACTGTGGCAACCCCTGATGAATAAAGGGACTAAGCTGAAGAAAACTGAAAGAATCTCTATAAAAATAATGCTAATTTTCTGAGTGGACTTGACAAACCACCTGTAGAAACACTCCTCTCGCGTCACAAGAGACCATAAAGCAAAACTTCAGTAAACAGCAGCTCAGACAGATCTCTTACATGAGATGTGTGGCGTCGGGAGTCCAGTCGGGCCGGTATCGAGCACCCAGAGCCAGCGCTTTATCCCGCAGATCCGCACGAAAAGGGTTCTGGAAGCCGCTCAGCACAAACACCACTCCCTCCAGGATCCGGTTAAAAGGCACGGACTCTGAAGACTTGGGCTTGGGTTTGGGTTTAGGTTTGGACTCTGGCTTAGTTTTAGGACTCTCTCGCTTATCTGATGACTTCTGTGCTGGAGAAGCTGAAGAAAAATATGCAAGAGCAATGCTTTTACAATGGAAACAGTACAGAGATGGTTCTCCAAAAATGTTCTCATGTTGATGTGCAGTTGACGTCAGAATCATTTTTTTTTTTAAATATTCATGTTCAACAGAGCAAGGAAACTTTCACAGTATTTCCTATAATATTTGTTCTTCTGGAGAAAGTCTTATTTGTTTTATTTCAGCTAAAATAAAAGCAGTTTTTAATTGTTTTAAACCCCTTTTAAGGTTCATTAGCACCCTTAGGCAATATTAGTTTTGGATTGTCTCCAGAACAAACCACTGTTATACAATGACTTGCCTAATCACCCTAACTTTACCCTAATTACCCTAGTGAAGCCTTTAAATGCCACTTTAAGCTGTATAGAAGAGTCTTGAAGAATATCTAGTCTAATATTATTTACTGTCATCATGACAAAGAGAAAATAAACCAGTTATTAGAGATGAGTTATTAAAACTTACGTTTGTAAATGCGTTGAAAACATCTGCTCTCCGTTAAACTGAAATTGGGAAAAAAATAAACAAGCGGTCTAATAATTCAGAGGGGCTAATAATTCTGTCTTCAATTGTATATCGCATCACCAAAACTGATTAAGATCATGTCCCTGTGTTGTGCGATCAGTCCATACAGTATATTGATTATTGTGACAGGCCTAGATAACCATATTAGACCGAATGTTTATTATCTTTTTGACTGTGTGAGAACTTCAGGAGTTTAAAGTATTTAGACACAAAAACATTTCACAGTTTGTAACCTTAATAAAAATAAATAGTTTTGAATGATTTATACAATGAAGACCATGGCTGTGTCCGAAACCAAACTTCCATACTATATAGTACGCTAAAATCAGTATGCGAGCAGAGTAGTATGTCCGAATTCATACAATTCGAAAATCAGTATGCGAGAAGTACCCGGATGACTTACTACTTCCGGCGAGATTCTAGAGTGCGTATCCCATGCATGCTGCGCTATCCCAAGATGCCCCGCGAGGGAATTTATGAATGGGAGTGAAGCCACGCAATTGACGCAGGTATGTCACGTGACCATGACAAAACGGCAGATGTAGTACGTCCGAATTCCATTCATACTTTTCACATTCATACTGTATAGAACGCACTTTTCTAATGGTCTAGTAGTACGTTTAAATTCAAATGCAGTACCTACTGAGTAGTAGGCGGTTTCGGACGCATCCGAGGTCTTTTTAAATTAGAATTTTTTAGTTTCTGTATCCGAACATTTTGGGCTCTATTTTGACGATCCATTCACAGATCGCAAAACGCAGGGCGCTTTCAGGGCGTGTCAGAACGCATTTTTGCTAACTTAAAGACGGAAAAATACGCTTTGCGCCGTGGTGCATGGTCTAAAAGGGTTGAGTTTATTTTCTTAATGAGTTATAGGTGTGTTTTGAGAATAAACCAATCAGAGTCTCATCTCCCATTCCCTTTAAGAGCCAGCTGCGTCGCGCCATAAGCGCATTGCTATTAACATGACATAAAGTAAGTTCACTTTCGCTTTTGCTCTCGTGGATAGGGAAACCTTACCTCACAGACATCAATTAGCCTATAAATAATTAATTGCGTTTGTTAAGCGCAAAGATTTGTTTCAAAACTATTTCTAAATTCAGTTCTAATTTCCAGCAAACGAATAAATGAACAATAATAATGAAGTGTGCTCAAAATTCCAAATACACCTGCCATGCCCTATATGGTCTAAAACCTGCAGGTGGACAAATCTGAGCTTGTTTTTAATAAAACAAATATAAATATGGTTATAATAAATAATACTGCTAATAATAATAACATTATACAAAAGCAAATTGAATGAACTGAAAAAGCCTCCCGAGATGAAGAAAGTATGAAGGCAGTGGTTTTTAAATTCAAGTAGGCTAGAAATTAATATGTTTTGTAATATTTTAATAATTTATATTTATATCTTATATATATCCTTATTATATATATCTTTAAGATATTATATCTTTTTCATATGTAAAGATATTTGCATATTGGATCTTGTTTGTAGTGTGTAAGCCAGGCGCACTTTGCGCCAGACAATAGACCGACTTTGTTCCGCCAACTTGTGCCACATTGCGCCGGGTGTATGATAGGGACCTTTATCTTTGAATTTATGTATGCTTGTAGTTAATCATATCTCATGCAGATGTAAGGCATAAAAAGACTATCTGAATCAGTCTAAATTAATGGATTCAGTCTAAATAGAGCTATTTCAGTCATCACAGCATACAGTTGCAGTCAAAATTATTAGACCCCCCTTTTAATCTTTTTTTTTTCCCCAAATGATGTTCAACAGAGCAAGGAAACTTTCACAGTATGTCTGATAATATTTTTTCTTCTGGAGGAAGTCTGATTTGTTTTATTATGGCTAAAATAAAAGCAGTTTTTATTTGTTTTAAACCCATTTTAAGGTTTATTAGCACCCTTAAGCTATATTTGTTTTGGATCGTCAACAGAACAATACACTGTTAAACAATAACTTGCCTAATTACCCTAACTTTACCCTAATTACCCTAGTGAAGCCTTTAAATGTCACTTTAAGCTGTATGGAAGTGTCTTGAAGAATATCTAGTCTAATATTATTTACTGTCATCATGACAAAGAGAAAATAAATCAGTTATTAGAGATGAGTTATTAAAACTATTATGATTAGAAATGTGCTGAAATAATCTTCTCTACACTGAACAGAAATTGTGGGAAAAATAAACAGGAGGGCGAATAATTCTGATATCAACTGTATAAAATAACGAATTTATTAATGCTAAAGTATTTGATAGCACTTCATTTGTACCTCTGCTGCTGGGACTGGTGCCCATGCTGGATCTTGCTTTGGCTTTCGGTGTGGTTTCGGCAGATGCAGATGAACTGGGCTTCTTGGCTGGTGGACCGGAAGCTTCCAGACGCTCTTTACTGAACTCAAACTTTCGCTTCACGGGAGCCTGTGAGAAACAGTAATAATACCTTTTATTTAAAAGGCACCTTACTGGCAACTCAAGGACACCGTACAATAAAACAAGAGCAATAAAACAACAAGAGGAATAATATAAAAGTATACACGACAATAGTGCAGATGCAATCAAGCATTAAAAGCCACCTTCAATAAGTGATTTAGTTTGGGCAGCATTTTGGCTCAGTGGTTAGCACTGCGGCCTCACAGCAAGAAGGTCGCTGGTTCGAGTCCCGGCTGGGTCACATTTGGCGTTTGCATGTTCTCCCCGTGTTGGTGTGGGTTTCCCCCAGGTGCTCCCGTTTCCCCCACAGTCCAAACACATGTGCTATAGGGGGAATTGATCAACTAAATTGGCCGTAGTGTATGAGTGTGTGTGTGTGTGTCTCTGTGTGTGTGTGTGTGTGTGTGTGTGTGTGTGTGTGTGTGTGTGTGTGTGTGTGTGTGAATGAGTGTGTATGGGTGTTTCTCAGTACTGGCTTGCAGCTAGAAGAGCATCTGCTGTGTAAAACATATGCTGGAATAGTTGGTGGTTCATTTCGCTGTGGCGACCCCTGATGAATAAAAGGACTAAGCCGAAGGAAAATGAATGAATGAATTATTTAGTTTAAATAAAAGTGTTGTCTTAACCTGTATTACAATGTTTGAAAATAAAAATTGTTCTTGAAATAATAAAGGTTTAATAATTTCACGTCTGATAAGAGGAATGCCTGAATATCCTCAATCTTACATCAGGTCCAGCGTCTTCATCTCTGATTGTGCTGAGATTCAGTTTCTTTAGCTTCAATTATAGAAGATGTAATGCTGTAAAAGGTCAATAATCCATCCAGACGAACACAGAATATCTGCCGCTTCAGCACAGGAGCGTCTGTGAGCTGAGAGATGATTTATGCACAGCAAAGAGTGGCTCTAATTTAATAAGGGAGTAAAATGTTACTATAAAATTTTTTATTATGGAAAGAACAAAAGCAAAGAAAAATACACTTACTAAAAACTTTAATTTTATTTAGCCCAACAGTTCACACATTACTGTCTGGCTAGTTTCTGTCCTCTGCTTATAAGCTAAAAAGGCAACAATGGTCCCTCAGTATAATGTAAACTGACAGGTTCAAATCTTTTTTTTCCAAATATCAAAGAAATAATTTGTTCCTTATTTATAGTTTGCAACTATTAAAAAAATTCAAATTTAAATCCTGAATTTCAAAATTTTAAATTTAAATTTTAAATTCAAAACTGTAATATATAAATCAGTGTAAAACCTATGAATGGTGGAAAAGCATATTCTGTAATCGTGTATCTGGGTCACTTTTGCCATGACCTATTTTGGCTTTAACAAACTCATCCCTCAGGTTTTTCCAAACTTTTTTCTAGCTAAGAATTATTGATCATCTGGTTCTCCCTATAATCACGCGTGGACGGATCATAAAGGTGTCTGTACAGTCGTACCCGTTTCAGACAAAATCTCTTCAAAGTCTTTCATATTCAACTCAAATGAAACGCGGCGCTGCGCAAACAATCGAGTCTCAAAATTATTCACCCAAAGCGAACCTCTGCATGCTCTGCGATGACGTCACATTGAGCTCAATAACAGTAAGCTGATTGGCTGTTGCATGTTGGTCTCATTTGTTGTTGTAATACCGCATATTACATTTGGACTAGTAAAATAAAGAACTACAACACCAAGCAACAACAACAAAAGAGTTTAAATGAGCATTAGATGTAGCCTTACATAGACATTGGAAAAATAAGACCTGTGCAGAAATATTTAAGACCTACAACAGCAAATTTAAGACTTTAAGGCCTAAAATTTCGATTTTTAAAAACTAAAGACCCCGCTGAGACCCTGTACAATATAAATGCAGTACCTGCTGTGTGTCGCTGGCAGGCGTGTGTGTGGACGAACCCTCAGTCTTCAGCGCAGCAGCGGCGTAACTCAACCTCTCATTCTGAGGAGAAACTGCAGAAAACAATCATTCTGTAAGACCATTATATTATTTACTGCAGCATTTTAGCTCATTTGAAAACTTGAACCTTTTTTGTGTAATGCCATATAAAGGTAATTATGATTCATGTTTTAATGCCTTACTGAAAAACTACAGTTAACAAACCATGTTGTTTTCAGGCACAGAATTAAAAAGAATTAAAGACAACTGCAACTTTTTGATTTTGACCAGATTTTTACTAAACCCTCTTGTTGTCTATAATTCTGTATAAAATGTTTGCCCTTTGGGTCAGAAATGCCCCGCCTTCACTAAACTTCTAAAATAAATAATGTAAAAAATTTAATGTTAAACCTCAACTGTGTTTAGCATGAAGAAACAAACTCACCTTCATCACACTCTGTCAATGTTTGGGTTTTCCCTCATCAGTTTGCAGTATTTCAGCAGTGTTCACTAGGGTTGGGTATTGTTTGGTTTTTTTTTCGATACCGGTGCTAAATCGATACTTTTAAAACGGTACCGGTGCCAAAACGGTGCCTGAACCGATACCTTTTAGCCTCAAAATTAATTGAAAAAAATAAATAAATAAATAAACAAATAAATAAATATATCTCCCGGATGCCCACAAACGAATGATAATCTCCCAGAAATCCCACCCTGTCCTCAAATACGTTCCCCATCCACTCCTACTCTTCAGATACATCGTACACATCCCATGCTGTGATGCGAGCGGAGCCATCTCCACTATCTAGTTATGACCTTTCCTGGAAGCTCTGCGTGTCTTCCACACATTCATACCGGCTCCGTGATCCCCCAAAATAAATTAAAAGAACACGGAAATCATGGCGACGAGAGTAAAGGAGACAGAGAACAGATCGCGAGAGGAGCAATGATGGTCTAATAATTTTGAAGCTTTGGTGTTGCTGCCTTTATTTTTGATGTATTGTACTCTCTTTTCCTGGGGGCCTGAGCACCCGTTTGAGATTGATGTGTGCGCTTTTTTTGCACATAAATATACCTGTGCAACATCAATATTAGAATTGTTATTAATAATGGATACCTCCCTACTACGATAAGTGTACAGTACTACGGTGCTTTACCCTTCAGTCCAGTGCTGGATTTAGCTGAAGTGTCCCTGCTGAAGAACAGAGCTCCAGGCTGCACGTTTGACCCAGCAGAAGGAGACTCGTCTTTAACTCGGAATTGACCCAGCTTGGTCAGCTTCTGTGAGGGAGGGAGAGAGCAGACAGATGTTTAATGTCACCCATTTCATCTGGAGTATGTTATAAATTGTAAGATTAAATGCCTGTAAACATTAAGGGTGCTTTCAAAGTGAAGAACGGGGGGTGGGGGGGTGTGTTGCACGCACGCAAAGTGAAAAGCAGGGGAGGAAAAGGCGAAGTGTGCGAGAGCTGAAGGACAGGGAGCCGGTTGCACGTTGGGTTTGGTGCACATGGGGACTGAAACAAAAAGCTGAGGAGCGTGCCGGGGGGTGAGGTGAATTCCGGGAGATAGAACAATACGGGAGATGGGTCTAAAATACGGGAGACTCCCGGAAAAAACGGGAGTGTTGGCAGGTGTGGTTCAGACTAGGCAATTGAACCAAGTGTGAAAGAGCCCTGAGTGAAGAGCTGAGAAAACTATTTCCCACAACTTCCTTGGCATTCACTTGGGGAAGAAAAAACAAGTGCAAACTAGGGTGTGTCTCAATCTGCACCCTAGTTCACTAGTCAGTGCACAGTCTCAATTAGAAAATTCTTTGCGCTCTGAAAAGTCCCACAATGCACCATGAAAATCAAGGCAAATCGATACTCACTACTGCATGTTCCCCTAATGCAGAGATGTCAAACTCAATTGCTGGAGGGCCGCAGCTCTGCACAGTTTAGTTCCAACCCTAATTAAACACACCTGATAACTAATTGAGTTCTTCAGGGTTGTTTCAAACCTACAGGTAAGTGTGTTGGAGCAGGGTTGGAAGTAAACTGTGCAGGGCTGCTGCCCTCCAGGAATTGAGTTTGAGACCCCTGCCCAAATGGAATTTTAAAAGTACAAAATATGAATCACATGTCTCAGACCATCAAGCATAATGACAAATGAGAGATGCTTTTCTACAAAAAAAAAATCCATTAATTATGTTGGTTTTTTTTAACAACATGGCTAGATAGGATAGGAAAAATTCAATCAAACATTTACAGTGCATCTGGAAAGTGTTGATAGCGCTTCACTTTTACCACATTTTTTTATGCTACAGCCTTATTCCAAAATGGATTAAATTGATTGATTTCCTCAACATTTTACACACAATCTCCCATAATGACAACGTGGAAAAAGAGTTTTAGAAATTGTTGCAAATTTATTGCAAATAAAAAAGCTGAATAATCACATGAATATCAGTATTCACAGCGTTTGGCGTGGAGCTCTACATCGAGCTCAGGTCCATTCTGTCTCCACAGATCATTCTTGAGGTGTTTCAGCAGCTTCATTGGAGTTCACCTGTGCTCAATTCAGCTGATTGGACATGATCTGAAAAGGCTACACCTGTCTATATAAGGGCCCAGGGTTAACAGTGCATGACAAAGCGCAAACCAAGCATGAAGACAAAGGAATTGTCTGTAGACCTCTAGGACAGGATTGTCTCGAGGCACAAGGTTGGGGAAGGTGACAGAAACATTTCTGCTGCTCTGAAAGCTCCAATGAGCACAGCGGCCTCCATCATCCATAAGTGGAAGATGTTTAACCACCAGGACTCTTCCTAGATCTGGCCGGCCATCTAAGCTGAGTGATCGGGGGAGAAGGGATTTAGTCAGGGAGGTGATCAATAACCCGATGGTTACTCTGTCTAAGCTCCAGCGTTCTTCTGTGGAGAGAAGAGAACCTTACAGAAGGACAACCATCTGTGCAGCAATCCACCAATGTTGTAGAGTGGTCAGACGGAAGACCCTCTCACCTGGAGTTTGCCAAAAGGCGTCTGAAGGACATCAGAAACTAAACTCTCTGCTCTGATGAGACTCAAACTGAACTGTTTGGAGTGAACGCCAGGCGTTACGTTTTGAGAAAAGCAGGCAGCGCTCATTACCAGGCTAACAGCATCCCTACAGTGAAGCATGGTGGTGTTGGCATCATGCTGTGGGGATGTGTTTCAGCAGCAGGAACTGGAAGACTAGTCAGGATAGAGGGAAAGATGAATGCAGCGATGTACAGAGACATCCTGAATGAAGACCTGCACAAGAGTGCTCTCCACCTCAGACTGAGGCGACACTTCATCTTCCAGCAGGACAATGACCCAAAGCACACCACCAACATATCAATGTGGCAAAAAAACAACTCACTGAATGTCCTTGAGTGGCCCAGCCAGAGCCCAGACCTAAATCCTATTGAACATCTCCGGAGAGATCTGAAAATGGCTGCACACCGTCCCTTCCCATCAAACCTGATAGAGCTTAAGAGGTACTGCAAAGAGGAACGGGCCAAACTTCCCAAAGACAGCTGTGCAGAGCTTGTGGCATCATATTTAAGAAGACTTGAGACTGTAATCGCTGCCAAAAGTGCATCAACAAAGTATTGAGCAAAGGCTGTGAACACTGATGTACATCTGATCTTTCAGCTTTTTTATTTGAATAAATTTGCAACAATTTCAAAAACTGTTTTTTCACATTGTCATTATGGGGGATTGTGTGTAGAATGTTGAGGAAAATATGAAGTTAATCCATTTTGGAATAAGGCTGTAACATAAAAACATGTGGAAAAAGTGAAGCGCTTTCACACTTTCCGGATGCTCTGTATAATTGTTAAAATGTTGCTGGTAAATGAAACACTCAAATTATTTAGCTGTAATGTACTTTTAAAAACGTAGTAAAATAATATATGACAGTCATTAGTTCTGCTGTTAATATTATTATAAACTCCAGTTTAGATGCAAAACACTCACCGGTGGAGTCGAGACTAGGGCTTCATTCCCGTCTGGAGGAGAGTGCAGCTTTATGAAGGAGATGCCGTACGCTATAGTCTGCACACAGGAAACAGCATCCGGCTTTTATTGCAGTGTGATGATGTACTTCTAACCGAAATCAAATATTAAGTAGGGGGAAGCAAACTAACTACTGGAAGGGTGTGGTTAAACATATTTCACCCAATCAGAGTCATCAGAGAAGGGCTGGGGTTTACCACTCTGATGACACGTACAAAGGGAAAATGTCATCAAAGTGTTTCTGCAGACTGGTTTTATCAAGTGTGATTTGATCTAATGTTTACCATTAGAGGCTGGAGATATTCATACACTGCTGACCCACAACTGTGTTTAAACCCCTTAGAAAAGTGATTTGCATAAAAGGTGCTCTTTAATGTCAATTGATACTTAAAATGTTACATTTAAATGCTGAAAAGCTGTGCAGACAACTCCAAAACTCCTCCAGAATGATTGAAAAGCTCATCATAAGACTGAAAACTATGATTATGGTGTGCTAAGTTTTTCCCCCTGACCTTGCTGTAGGGCTGACTGCAGACGATCTTCACGCGATCCCACTTCTCCTGTGATTGCGCCTTCACCAGCTGACCGGGCCCGAAGAAACGCACACGGTTTGTGTTTGTGCCGTTTCGGCTCTCAGTGGGCGACATGAAGGACGATGTGACCAGCAGAACCTACAAAACAATGCAGAAGAGTAAACATGCGGTTTATATCTATTTTAGTTGAAGACTCCTATTTTTATTTATTGCCACATCAGCAACTTGTGGCTATTTAATGGCAAAATGGATTGAAGACCCCTTTAAATTTAAATAATTTTAATTATTGCCATTTACATATGCCATATTTCCATATAACACTTTAAAACGTAATAGTTTTAATAACTCATCTCTAATAACTGATTTATTTTCTCTTTGTCATGATGACAGTAAATAATATTAGACTAGATAATCTTCAAGACACTTCTGTACAGCTTAAAGTGACATTTAAAGGCTTCACTAGGGTAATTAGGCAAGTCATTGGACAACTTTAAAATACATTTATTAATATATATATACATATTTATATATTTTTTATTATTATTATTATTTCCCCCCCAGCAAAACTAATAGCAAGACATTCTCCGAAAGAAAAATATTACAAGGTTATAATATAATTATATATTAAATACTGTGAAAATTTTCTTGCTCTTTTAAACAGCAATTATATATTTTAAAAATAAATAAAATTTTACAATAATTTCAATGATTAAAATTAACATAAAAATGAATGAATCAGAACTCTAAACTTAAAAAAAATAATAATAATAAAATGATGTATGTATGTATGTATGTATGTATGTATATATATATATATATATATATATATATATATATATATATATACATATACATATATTTAAATTTTTATTATTTATTATTAATATATTTTATTATTTATTATTAAATTTTGTATTATTAAAAAACAAATAATAATAATAATAAAACTATATATATATATATATATATATATATATATATATATATATATATACATACATACATACACACACACACACACACACACACACACACACACACACACACACACACACACACACACACACACACACACACACACACACACACACACACACACTAGTAGTATTTATTTAAAATAATACTCTTTAGCAAAACGCAATATATGTACAAACATACACACACAGACATACAGGAAACCTCAACAACTGATTGACTGTATACATCACTGCTTAATCTAGCTATATTACCATCCATGAGACATGAAAATATCAATACACTACACACTAACATTATGACTCTCTGTAAAAATGCATGCTAATAAAACTGACTGAAGACAAAACTCACTAAAACTAACATGTTTTCATAAGATGCAAAAATGAAAAGCTCAAACTTTAAGACTCGCCTCAAAGTCTTGATCTTTGACAGACGTGGAGTGTCCGACAAGGACCTCTATGAAAGCAGAGCCTTCATTTCCAATGTCTATGCTGTGAATTTGCTCTTCCTTTTCCAACTGGAGGAACAACACATGCAGGTTAAAGAAAACATCTGCAAGTGGCATTATAGTATCTTAAAATAATAATAATACATAAATAAAATAAATAAAAATGTTATTTAAAAAAAATAATATATTTAATATGTTGTTAATTTAAAACTAACTTAAGAACAATTTTAAAATAAATAATAATAATAATACTAATAATAATAATAAACAGAAATAAGTCAGACATACTTGAAGGATGACAGAAACTTGCTTTTCTCCAGGTCTCGCAGCTTTCCATTTTCTGTAAGTGTCGGAGCTCAAGAGGTTGTCTGCTTTATGAGTCTGTGCAGAAAAAGTAAACAATAAAGAACAAACTCTTTAATCGGTGATCAGGATCCTGTTATTAATCTAATTTAACTACCATTTGTCTTGTTGTAAACAACTAAAATATGTAGTGTTGGGGTGCCTCCCGGAACAGGGTTGGGAAACAGCCTTGGAGAATCATTCCAATCAATGTAAATTAATGAACTGTTCCTAAATAGGGCTATTCAAGCCATTTAGTGAAATTGTATTCATATCGTGATATATTCAATGCAAGGTATCCCAATTTCTGATTTTATTTTTCAACATCTACAGCCCTACTGCATTTCAAATTCAGTGACTCAGTTCAAACCAATGATTCAATAGATTCAGCTGAATCAATGAATCAGTCTAGTTCTCAGGTTTGTGTGTTGATTGTAAAGTGTCAGTAAATGTAAATTATCAATGAAGTATAACAGAATTCTTACATTATCTTCACTGCTGCAGGACACGACATGCTTGAGTTTGAGTTCAGGCATGTTCTCTGAATCAAACAATTGAATCGTCGCTCATAAAACCTGAAAAAGCAAAGATATGACTTCATTAGTCATTAATTATCATGTTAACAGAAAACCTCAGATAAAGCTCAGCCATGTGGCATACTTTTCTCCAGTGGTTTTTGATAAGAGAATGAAGAACTCATCTCAATTGCGAATTAATATTCGAATCGGTTCACTGAATCGACTCACATGAACACTGTATAATGTAGCGTCAATTACAAGTAAAAGTATAAATAAACAATAAACATTAACATCGTGATTTTCCTCATTAATAAATACAAAAATGAAGACGCAAAAAACCTAAAAGCACTGAACAAAACAAGCACATCACTTCAATGAATCACCATATTTCATGTTAATAAAAACTAAAAATAAAGCATTTAACACACTTTTAGAAAAATATTTTCATGACTTTTCACCAGACTTTATTGATTATTGAATTTCTAAAATAATTCATATTCAAATTAATAAAAATCGCGAATGAAGTATAAAATCAGTTCACTGAATCGACTCACATGAACGAGTCAGCATCAAATCAAACAAGCATTACTCTAAACATGCGTAAAATTAATTAAGAGTTAAATATTCTGGTAACAACAATCAATTTAGCGAAAATAGTGACAACATGACATAAATATATACTACATGAGCAGTCAAAACACGTCAGTATTTAAGTATTAAGACCAATAAGTGTGCTGTTATACAACACATTACGTTTCATGATAATCTGAAATATCTGACACAAAAAAGCATGACGTGTGGACTGATTTATGATATAAAAACACAAACTAATAAATCCGATAATTGTATTAATTTGCTGTTATTCGGTCTAGTTAGCGGAGTCCGCCTGAGTTAACCAGCGCGAACAATAGAGGCGCTTCAGAGCCGCCATTAAAGACCATACAAGCGGCTAAAATATTTAGATACGCATTCTGATGGATTCAACATCACTTTACCGAAATCCAAACAGAGCTGAAGTCGCTTCTGAGCTTTATTCCAGTCTGAGTGAGAGAGTTTCACAAGCGCGCGTACAAACTCCCTCTCAATCCACAACACGCAACGTCACTTCCGCCTGCCGACCAATCAGTGCCCGTGAGGCAGAAAGTCACGTTCTCGACTTTAGAATAAAAGTCTGAATTAAACAGAAGATGAATTATTTTATAAATTATTAGACTTATATTAATTATTTTATAATATAATTTTTCAATCATTAATTTGTACAACAATTAATTAATTAAATTAATTAATTTGTTAATTGATTAATTTATTAATTCTTCATTTAGTTAATTCACTGTACAGTTACTTAATTAATTAATTAATTACATTCAATCAACGTACTTCTTCATTCATTGTTTTCCTTAATTGTTTGTTAGTTCATTCATTCATCCATACATTCCTTTCTTTCATAGTTTTTTTCATTCATAAATTCTGTCAGTCATAGTTTATTTATTAATTTATTCAAGCCACCGTACATTTATTAATTCAATCATCCTTTGTGTATTATTTGTATTCATTCATTTTTTCATTTTCATTTGTTTGTTTAGTAAATCATTTGTTCATTCATTCATTTATTCACTAAAATTATTATTCATTTATTTATTGTTCCAACATTTAATTAATCAATTTTGATTCACTGTTCATTCATGTATTTAATCATTCATTTGATTCATTGTTCACTCATTATTTAGTTTTTAAATTAGTTATAAAAAAAATCAATTCTTCGTTTGCTCATTCACTCATTTGGTTATTAATGTGTTTATGTTCTCACTTTTATTCATTCATTCATTCAATTATTCAAATATGTATTAATTTATTCATTGTTTAACCATCTTGTTAATAATTTTGATTTACTCTTCCATTATTTAATTAATCCTTCATTATTTTTCATTCATTCATTCATTCATTCATTCATTCATTCATTCATTCATTCATTCATTTAATTATTCATTTGCTTTGTTTATTTACTTTTTATTTCTTTATTCAATTATTCATTTAAATCATTATTAATGTATTCATTAATAACAATTGCATTGTTTATGTGCCTATTTTTTATTTCTTTATTTGTTCATTCATTTATTCATTCATTCGTTCATTCATTCATTTATTCAAATTATTATTAATAATTTCTGATTCACTGCTCCTTCATTTAATTAATTATTCATTATTTTTCATTCGTTCATTTAATTAACTGTTCATTCATTCATTATTCATTCATTCATTAAATTTTTTATTCATTTACTCATTCACTCTCCTTATTTGGTCATTAATGTGTTTATGTACTTATTTTTATTTATTTGTTTATTCGTTCCTTCATTCGTTCAATTATTTATTCCTTGTTCAATCATTTAACACATTTTGATTCACCGTTCATTCACTTAATGAATCTTTCGTTATTTTTCATTTATTCATTTCATTCATTGTTCATTCATTCATTAAATAGATTGTTCATTTGCTCATTTACTCTTCTTATTTGGTGATTAATGTGTTTATGTACTCATTTTTATTTATTTATTTATTTGTTCATTCATTCAAATGATTAATGTATTCTTTGTTCAATCATTTAAAAAATTTTGATTCACTGTTTATTCATTTAATTAATCATTCATTATTTTTCATTCGTTCATTTAATCAACTGTTCATTGATTATTCATTTACTAAATTATTAATTTCCTTTGCTCATTCACTCTCCTTATTTGGTGAATAATGTGTTTATGTACTTTTTATGTGTTTGTTCCTACATTCATTCATTCATATAATTATTTGTTAATTAATTGTTAAATCATTTAATTATTTTTGGTTTTACGGTTCCTTTATTAATTCAGTCAATTATTTAATTCATTAATTTTTTTCCTTAACTTAATTAATTGTTCGTTTATTCATTATTCATTATTCAATTATTAATTTTGCTCATTCACTCTCCTTATTAGGTGATTGATATTTTTATTTATTTATTTATGATTTGTTCATTTATTTATTCAGTCATTCACAAAAGAAAGGTTCAGTAGTTTCAGAGCATGTTTTATTTTCAAGGTAAATTTAGGCTGTCTCTCATGTTTCTCTCTACTCTGAGCACAGAATAATACACCGAACATGAACATCTGAAAAACTCAAAGTTTTCTACAGAAATGTGCTGTTGCTTTTCTCCTCTGTCTTCTTCAGAATGTCCTTGACTGGTTTCACACTCATAAGACACACACTATGTCCTGTTTTTTCCATTGCAGGCCCAGATTGGCCTTTCTGTTTAACAAAATAAGCCTCAGTCTTGCTGCATTTCTTAGTCTTCAAAAAATATTAATATCATCATTGTCCTCAGACCTAAAAGACATTCAGTTCCCTTCAGTGATTTATAAATACATCAGCCTTGAAATGCACAAAACCCCACATGTGATATAACATAATGTTCATAATGTTGACTCAGTTTTAATAGAACAGAATAAGAAGATCTTTATAAACTGAATGTTCCCATAAGTTGTTCAAGTCACTTTTGAATGATTTCACCAAACATGTCTGCCTTCTTTCAGTAAGTTTCAGTAAGTTTTTTTGCTCTCAACTGAGGTCAGGAGCCTGTATCGTATTTGTGGCTAAACAAAACTCCGGATTAGAGGATTAGTTTTGAGTTTACTCACCAACGAAGACACTAAGGGCCTACTCACACTATGCCATCCGTACCGTGCCCAGGCCCGTTCCCCGTTTCACACTTGTAGTGTGAGTGCAAAACGTGCCAAAGCCCGAAACTGAAAGCGAGACGTGACTTTAAGGGGCTGTTTCATATGGATTTATTAATCATTATTACTGTTCAGTGAACGCAAACTGCCGTAGTTTATTAAAGACGGAAACCCCTCACTGCACGACAGCTGCACCTTCAGCAGACCTCCTCATTCTTGCAGCAGCAGCACGAGAGCTTTATGATTGTTTATGAGCGTCAAAAGTGGCGGATCTGTTCGGCGAAATATCTGACTGCATGTCCCCATATCCCTAAGGACTGTTTGGCAAAATATTTGACTGCATGTCACTGCATAACAAACGACTGAAACGATATAACTAGAGAAATCTCCTCTGTGCGGCTAAGTGAGCACAGCAGCGATGACGTAAGCGTGCCGATTGTGGTGTGAGTGCGGGCCGTCGGGGGAGACAGGAGGGGGGACAAGCGTGCTTTGGCCCGGTTCGAGGCAACTGTACCTAGTGTGAGTACGGCCTAAGAGCTTGAATCACAAAGGTGGCCAAATAAACTCAGGATTACAGGATTAGATTTGAGTTTACACGTTAATGAAGACACTAGGAGCCCGTATCATGATGGTAGCTTAACAAACTCAGGATAATAGGATTAGCATTGAGTTTAAACATTACTGAAAAAAAACATTCGGTACATTGTTAGTGGTTTAAAAAACTCAGGATTACATGATTAGTATCAAGTTTACATGTCACTGAAGGTACCAAGAGCCTGTACCTTGATGATGGTTTCACAAACTCAGGATTACAGAATTAGCTTTTAAAATACATGTCACTGAAGACACCGGAAGCCTGTTCCTGGATAGCAGTTCAACAAACTCAGGATTACAAGATTAGTACATATCACTGATGATACCAGGAGCCTGTACTATGATGGTGGTGTAACAAACTCAAGATTACAGGATTTGTTTTCTGTTTAAATGTCACTGAAAACACCAGGAACCTGCATGATGGTGGCTTAACAAACTCAGGATTACATGATAATATTTGAGTTTACATGTTACAAAAGACACAAGAGGCCTGGACCATGATGGTGGCTTAACAGACTCAGGATTAAATGATTAGTTTTGAAATTACATGTCATTGAGGATACAAGGACTACTATGTACTATGATGGTGGCTTAACAAATTCAGGATTACAGGGTTATCTTCTAGTTTACATTTCACCAAAAATACAAGGAGTCTGTGCTAAGATGGTGGCTTAAAAAACTCAGGATTACATGATTAGTTTTGAGTTTACACATCACTAAAGACACTAGAAGCATGTATCATGATGGTGGCTTAAACTCAGGATTACAGTATAGTTTCAAGTTTACACATCACTGAAGATACTAGGAGCCTGTAATTAGATGGTGGCTTAACAAACTTGAGATAACATGATTAATTTTAAAATTACATGTCACTAAGGACACAAGGAGCCTCTACTATGATGGTGGCTTAACAAACTCAGGATTACAGAATTGGCTTTGAAAATGCATGTTTTACCTTTAAGTTTAAACATTGCTGAAGAAACCATGTGGTGGTATCTGATTGGTGGCTTAACAAACTCAGGATTACATGATTATTTTCAGGTCTACACATCACAGAAGACACAAGAGGCCTGTACCTTGAAGGTGGTTTAACAAACTCAGATTTACAGGATTTGTTTCATGCTTATACATCACCGAAAACACCATGAATCTGCATGATTGTGGCTTGACCATCTCAGAATTACATGATTCGTTTCGAGATTACATGTCACTTAATATGTCAGGGGTCTGTACCCTGATGATGGCTTAACAAACTGAACATTATAAGATTAGCTTCTAGTTTACACATCACTGAAGATGCCAAGGGCCTGTATCATGATGGTGGTAAAAAAAGCTCAGATTCACAGAACAAGTTTTGAAAACATAACCAGAACATATCCTAAACATATCCAAAACATAACCTGAACATCATCAGAGCATATCCAGAACATTAAAAATATCTAAGCAAAGTATAACTAGATCATATCCAAAACATAATCTAAACATAACCAAAAAATAACCAGAGCATAACCTGAACCCAACCTGAACATAACCAAAACATAATGAGATCATTTCCCGAACATCAGCTAAACATAACAAAACATAACCAGAACATGTCCAGAACCAAACCTTCACATTCAACCTTTAGTTTCTATAGCACATTTTACAATGCAGATTGTCAAAAGCAACATAATCAGAACATATCCAGAACATAACCAGAACATTTTTAGAACACATCCTAAACATAACCAGAATATGACCTGCCCTGGAGCACCTTAAGTTACCATGGCAATAAAAAGGGATTAAAGCCAGGCTTCATTCATGCTAGCTAAAATCCAGGATTGGTGCAAACTAACCTCAAACTTAACTAGCTAGCCAGCTAATCTTGCTTCATGGTACAGGGCACTGTTTAATTTAGTAATAAATTAGTATCACTAGCTATGTTTCCTTCTAAAAATGCAAATTAACTTGCGCAAAACTGGAATATTGCATAAAAGATATCCGAATAAAGCAGCGTTCCCATCCAACGAGTCAAAGCAACAAAATCGTCACTTCCTGATTAACTGGCTTCAAATATCAACAGTTAAAACTGAATTTGCTGCAGTAGGAGAAGCTGCCAATCTTTTCCTTATTTAATAAATGACCTCAGAGGACAACGCCGACACACTTCGTGGCATTTAAAGCCATGAGACGCGGAAAACAGAAGCTCTTGACATGCTGCAGACGCTCTGGAGGTCATTTGTAATATAATAATACTGAAATGGGTTACAATGACCAAAACAGCAGTTCAGATTTTCTGCAGTGTGCTCAGCCTGCTGGTTTGTCCATTCACACACATTTTCATCATCACATGATCTCTTAGAACAAACCTTTTTAATGCACATACTGGAATTTGTTCAGTAAAAGTGTTTCCATCATAGTTAATGTGCATCTTTTCTTATTGAATAAAAGTTGATCCTACTCAGTTATGCGCATGTTTTTATGTATATTTTTTAAAAGTTATGTGCATCATGACGTTTCCATCAATCATTTTTTATACGCATCTCCAAAACACACATAAAAATAGGTGGGTGGAGATGTAAGGCTAAGGGGGGAAATACAGATTCGTCTTAAAAAAAAGGGGAGGAGACCGACAGAAACTCAGAGTTTAGAGAATAAAACCTGCTCCTGATCAGGTTAGGTTCACAGAGTAAGTGACCACAATAACTGACTCCGCGTTAAAGTTACCTCTCTTTTAGAAACAGGTTTGACTTACCCTGCTGTCTCCAGTTTGACAAACCTGCCATTCTAAAATAAAAAACCCAGAGTTTCTCTCATTTCAGGGTTAACATACTCTGAGTTTTCACTTAACCTCCTTTCTGAAACGAGGCCCTGGAGCTCCTACACAGGACTTCACACTCGCTCCACCAGACTCGTGTGCTTCTCATCCCCGCCCACACTTACAGCGCTACCAAGCCGACCAATCACAGAGCTAGCGCTATGCATTGTTGCGACGTGTACTTACATTTTTTGAGAGGAACACGTCAGCAACGGCCAGGGCAAGGGCTATGTGACCATCAGGGCCGGATTAAGATCACATTGGGTCATGGGCCATAGCAAATCCAAGGGCCCCCTTTTAATTCTTTACCTCACAAAAATATATAAATTGTTGTTGTTATTAATATTGTTATTATTAATAATAATTTACTAATTGTCACCGACTCGGTCCCGGTCATTCCCCTCGCTGGCCAGCAGAGGCCACCATCTCCAGACTTTTAGCATTACATCATCCATCTACACTGATTGCACAGACACCTGATCTCAATCTGGTTAACGACCCACGTACCTCATATAAGCTGCACTCAAACACTCAGTCAGTGCGAAATCTTGTTCAGCCCCGGCCAGCATTACTGAGTGTTATTCCCAGCCTGTCTCTTACTTTGCTTCGCCTTCTGCCTGCCCACAACCCACGCCTGATATACGGACTCTGATTCTCTCTGCCTGCCCACGACCCACGCCTGATATACGGACTCTGATACTTGCTGCCTGCCCTCGACCCAAGCCTGATACACGGACTCTGATTCTCGCTCATTACCCTCCACTCATGCCTGGTAACTCACTCTGTGTCTGTTCATCATCATTTTTGATACCCTTACTACTACTGTGGATGTGTGTGTGCACTCAGGTGCATATTGTGTGTTTGAGTGAAGTTGTGATTAATAAATACTGCATAATGGATCCCTCCGTGTCAGTCTCCTCGTTACACTAATTAATATTATTATCTACATATCATTATATCTTTTTTTCTATTTTATTAAAATAGGCCTGCAAGTATACAAACTTAGGGAATGACATAATATGAACTTTAAAGTTCAAGCAGGCAGCAAAAATCTGCAAAAAAACATTTGCAATACTTCCTAAATTAGTGCTTTAAAATAACTACTTTAAACAGGGGTTTACCTTTAAAACGTTTCTTTAGAACTTTAGCTGATTATAAATCACTTATGATGTAGGCCGAATATCTTTAATATCCATGCTTCTAATATCCAAAGCTTATTGTGGTCTTACAGAAGGCAAACCTCTTTATTTTATTTATTTATTTTGTATTTATTGCATCAGATATAGTGTCTGAGGAAAGTCAGTGCCAATATATCACTGCTCCATATTATTAGTCATTTTATAAAAGAGGCAAAGTAAACATTCATATAAAGTTTGCTTTATAACTGGTTAGACTTACTGTAAAGCATCACAGAGTGTATTTACATGAGATAGCTACTCTGTAACGATGGATATTTTAATAACTGCTCGTTTAGGCTATTAGATTTGTTCGCACGCTGTCTCGGTTATATTAGCCCCTTTCACACATACAGACCTTTCCGGAAAATTGCCGGCAATTTTCCGGAAAGCTTGTATGTGTGAACAGGTCCTTTTTGAAAATACCGGTAAATTCGTTCTGGCTATTTTCCGGAAAGAGAAGTTGTAAGATTACCGGCAATTTGCCGGAATGCTGCGCTGTGTGAACGCAGAAGGAAGATTCCCGTAATAAGCGCGTGCACGTCTAGAACATGCTGACGTGAGACGTCTGCTTTAGCCAATCACAACAGTCAGACGCATTCACGTCCGCGCGGTTTGTGAGGATAAAAGCCTTTGAATATTTTTCCAGACACATTTAGCTGCTAGAAGTTAGTCAGATCACGTTTATATGTTCTTCTTAATGCCAACTGTGTAAATAATCATCGATGAGATGCTTATGATAAGCCGTTGTTTGTTTACCTTCAAGCTTTGCGTGTGCCTGTGAAACAGCCTGTGAGCGCCTGCACACACACATATTATGAACATCTCGACATGCGAATATGATCCTGTGAAAGTTGTTTACAATATTGATCATGAAATGAGTTTGTAATTTAGTCAAATGTTTACAAATACAAGCGCAGCCGTTTAAAGCTCATTTGTGGTGAATGATGTCAGAATTTACCGGTATTTTGGAATGGATGTGTGAATGCTCTTTTCCGGAAAAATTCCGTAATGTCCTCGCCTGTGTGAACAGCGCTTTTTTGAATATACCGGTAAAGTCGTTCCGGAAATTTTCCGGATATTTACCGGTATCACTGTGTGAAAGGGGCTATTGTGTGATGGAAGGAATGTGCGGGCGGGCAGTTCGGGCGAGCACCGGTTTGAATCCAGCTGTAACCACCGCGCAGCAGAGACAGCGCTTCAGTTATGAGTCCATTCAGCACGATTCCCAGCTTCTGTTGTACTACATGTACAAGTGTATCACTGATGAAGACGCTGTGAATTTTATTTTTTGCTCTGCGACGAGCTTGGTTAGCCTACCTGTGACTGGACGGCTCTCGTAATAGTGCCAAAATAATAGACTGTCCTGGGAGAATTGGGGCATTTAATCACATCTATGGGTGACTAAAACAGGGATATTCAATATTCTGATTGGACTACAGTCACCTTGAGCCACAGCTTAGCACCGGCGTCACTGTTTTTGAACAGCAATGAACCGAAAGGTATAATTCACATTATCTACGAGAGAAAGCAGAACGCAAAGAGGCGTTTCCAGTGTCATAGCGCAAATTAATTCTTCAGCCAATCAAGGGCCTCCTTCTTCCGTGGGCCCTGGGGCTTTAGCCCCACCGAGCCCTTACGTTAATCCGGCCCTGGTGACCATGCAAAGGCTGCGCTGATGCATACGCGTGCGCTTGACGCAGAGGTATAAATCAACCTTAAGGCGTTTTAGAATGAGCAAAACAACATTTCTGGTGTTTACAGTGTGCTCAGCCTGCTGGTTTATCCATTCACACACATTCACATGCACATCTTTTCTTATCGAATAAAACGTTTCTCACTTATGCGCATGTGTTTTTATGCACGAAATACTGCGCATCATGGCGTTTCCATCAACCGATTTTCTAAACGCATATTCAAAACGTACATAAAAATAGGTGGATGGAGGCGGAGCTAATGTAGAATGAATAAAGAGAGTGTCAGTGATGCTTGTATTTCACGCTGCAGTCTGAGGTTTGTCTTGTGTTTATTGCAGGAGCTGATGCACTGATGTAATCTCATGCAGGTCTTCACAGCGGTGTGTGAGTTGTTTAAATCACCTCCAAATAGATGGCAGTTTCGGGGTCAGAGGTCACGGCGGTCAGCCTCTGCACCCGCTGATGTTGAGCTCCTCGCCTCTGTCTCTTATGAGTCTGAAACACACACACACACACACACACACACACACACACACACACACATACACACACACACACACACACACACACACACACACACACACTTTACTTTACTTTAACTTGTTTTGATTTATCTGTGCTGTGTATTATGCTATTTATGAAGCTATTAATTATATAATATCAAATAAAGTTCTTCTGCACCTGTTTGCTGTGCACAAAGAGCGGAGTGCTGTTCTGGTAGATGAGCTGGTAGCTGCCGTTACTGTAGATGTGTGTGACTTCACTGCAGTTTATGTAGAGCGGCCTTCTCCTCTGATACACACACACTGACATCGGCTGAAGAGACGCCACTCGCCTCCTCCTGCTAGCACGCACGCACACACGCACGCACGCACACACACACACACACACACACACACACACAAACCAGAGATTAGACAAAAACACACATCATGAGATTGAACACACACACACACACACACACACACACACACACACACACACACACACAAGAAATTAAATAGACACACACAAACTCAAACACAAACACACACACATAACAGATTAATCACACACACACACACTCACACATCAGAAATTAAATAAACACCCACAAACACACACATAACAGATTAAACACACATACACACATACACTCTAGAAATTAAATAGACACACACAAACACAAACACATGCATAAAAGATTAATCACACACACACACACACACACACACACACACACACATCAGAAATGAATTAAACAGCCACAAACACACACATAACAGATTAAACACACACACACACACACACACACACATCAGAAATTAAATAGACACTTGCACAAACACACACATAACAGATTAAACACACACACACACACATCAGACATTAAATAGACACTTGCACAAACACAAACACACAAGAAATGAAATAGACACACGCACACACGATCAGACAAAATACACATCAAGAGATTGAACGAACACACACACACACATCAGAAATTAAATAGACACACACACAAACACACACACACAGGAAATGAAATAGACACACACACACACACGATCAGACAAAAACACACATCAAGAGATTGAACAAACAAGACACATGCACAAACACACACACACACACACACATTATTGATTAAACAACACACACAGATAATGTGTGTCACACACACACAAACACACACACACTCACCGTCTGCTGGACCTGCAGTAACACAGCAGTATCAGCATCATCAGAGCGAGAGTCCCAGCACACACACACGGCAGGACAGTCCACAGCAGATCACCTGTGCACACAAACACACACACTTTGTTTTTTAGTCTTTGTATAACTGTGTGTGTATCGGTGTGTGTATCAGTGTATTTGTAAGGGTGTGTGTGTGTGTTTTTTATTCAGTGTGTGTGTATTTATCAGTGTATGTGTGTGTGTGTGGCGTACTCTGATTTCTCTGCAGCAGTAGTATAGAGCTGTTTCCCAGTGCGTTGAAGGCGTAGCAGTGAACGTGCAGCAGTGTGTGTGTCACTCCGCTCAGAGTCGCAGTCAGTGTTTGGTTCACACTGGAGGAGGACGTGTTGAAACCGTCCGGCGGCTGCGTGCCGTTCACACTCCAGGTGACGGCAGGACGAGGGTTCGAGTGCACAACACACCAGCAAGACAGCAGACGCCCATCCCACACACAGCGCGAGCTGCTGGAGTCTATCAGTGGAGCATCTGTACAACACACAAACACACACACGCACACACACACACACACAGATAATATTAATGAATAATTCCGACTTGAGTTGTAAATAACTAGTAAATGCACACAGTTAAGGGCAGGACTGTCGAATAAGACGAAGACTCACACTGGACATTGAGGGCGGTGAGGCGTGATGATGCTCGTCCCAATCTGTTGGAAACGATGCACTGCACGTGTGTGTTTCTGCTCACATTATAGATGCGTACGCTGTGTGTGTGTTTGGGAAGAAGCACCGGTGCGAGGCCTGAATCCACGATCCACCACTGATACTGGGACACTGGCGGGTCGGCCTTACAGTGGCAGCTTAGCAGAGGGTTTCCTCCAGCCCGAACCGACAACGTCACCACCTCCACCAGCACATCCCTCGGGGGAACTGTAGACAGTGGAGAAACCACAACATTATATCAGCCGGTCTTGAACAAAGATTAAACCAGCTTAAATATTAGCAAACACGAGCAAAATAAGCTGAAACTTACTTAAGACAGAACATATCTTTAAAAAATCAGGTAAAATGATTTAAGATGATTCAAGATGACTTAAGACAAAACAAGCTTTTAAGTCTGACATTATGACTCAAATCAGCTTAAAGTCAGGTGAAGACTGCTCAAGTTGACTTAGGACGAAACAAGCTGAGGATGACTCAATGTGATGTAAGACAAAAACAAGCTTTAAAGTCCCTTGATGACTTCTCAAAATGACGTAAAACAAGCTTTAAAATCAGATAAAGATGCATTGATGCATTGAGTGAGTGGATGCATCACCTAGCGGGTTCCACACAGGCTTCTGCATCTTGTTTATATACACTATGAACAGCAGCTACGCTAATTATTCTCTTTATTCTCTATTTTCACCTGGGGATACTCATCCCGATGTCCTCAGATTATGCAGAGTCACTGATTGGATCCAAGACCAGCGACGAGATGATCCCAAGGATTCCATATCCGGGACCAGGCCATATCCTGAGCTGCTGCTGCGCTGATGGTCGTGGGGAGTGGAGAACATGTGTCTGATTCCAGCGACGTTCCAGGGACAGACGAGTCTTCGCTGAGGTCATCTTCCTGCCTAAACCACGGCGAATGAAGTTCTGCACAAGACTTTTGGCCAGCGGAGAAATTAAAATGGTCGTGCCCAACTGAGTCTGGTTCTCTCAAGGTTTTTTTTCTTCACTCCCATCAGGTGAAGTTTTTTTCCCTCTCCGCTGTCGCCACTGCCTCACATGGTTCAGGATTGGTAGAGCTGCGCATCGATGAATTTGCTCTTCAGTGTTTGAACTCTCAGTAATGATTAAATCACACTGAACTGAGCTAAACTGAACTGAACTGAACTTAAACACTAAAAACTGAACTACACTGTTCCCGTTACTATGACCATTTATGTGAAGCTGCTTTGACACAATCTACATTGTAAAAGCGCTGTACAAATAAAGCTGAATTGAACTGAATTGAATAAAGATGACTCAAGATGACTTAAGACAAAAGAAGATTTATAAAACAAGACTTTTTGAGTTGAAGACAAAGGCAGAAAGGAAGAAAGTAGAAAACCTGCAACCATGGACCCCCATATTAGGAAAACAAATACTGTGGTAGTCAATGGTGAAAGGTTTTTTAACAGTTGTCCAAATATCTTTCTTTGTGAAAAAAAGAAAACTCATAAATGTTTGAAACAAGTTAAGGGCGAGTAAATGATGACAAATTTAAACATTTTGGGTAAACTATCCCTTTAAAATTACTTTACATATTGCAAAGACAACTCAAGATGCCAAAATAATTTCAAATCTTAAACATACATCAAAATGACTTAAATGTATTTTAAATAATTGACATATTACTCAAAATGACCATAATTTTTAAAACCACAAAAAAAACTTTAAAATTGCAAATTATACTCAAATTGACTTAAAATGATTTCACATAATTTAAAGACAACTCAAGATGACTTAAAATCATTCAAATGTTAAAAACAACTCAAGATGACTTAAATGTTAAAGACGGCGATGCAGTGGCGCAGTAGGTAGTGCTGTCGCCTCACAGCAAGAAGGTCGCTGGTTCGAACCTCTGCTCAGTTGGCGTTTCTGTGTGGAGTTTGCATGTTCTCCCTGCCTTCGCGTGGGTTTCCTCCGGGTGCTCCGGTTTCCCCCACAGTCCAAACACATGCGGTACAGGTGAATTGGGTAGGCTAAATTGTCTGTAGTCTAAAACTTGCTGGATAAGTTGGCGGTTCATTCCGCTGTGGCGACCCCGGATTAATAAAGGGACTAAGCCGACAAGAAAATGAATAAATAAAAATGTTAAAGACAACTCAAGATGACTTAAAATCATTCAAAATGTTAAAGACGACTCAAGATGACTTTAAATCATTTAAAAAGTTAAACATACCTCAGGATGACTTAAATGTATTTTAAATAATTGACATTTTACTCAAGATGATTTTAATCTTTAAAAGCACAAAAATCTTTAAAACCTCCAATATTACTTGACAAAATAAATAATTGAAAATGTTAAAGGTGACTCAAGATAAAATAATTTCAAATTATAAAGTCAACTTAAAATAACTTAAAATGATTAAAAAAAATGAGTTAAAGGCAACTTAAGATGTTCTTTTAAATGCGTGAGTCGCATAACTGTGTGTGTTTAGTGTGTGTGTTTTCTCACAGTGGACGAGGATCTCTCTGGTGGCCGCTGATCTCCTATTCTCCGGATACTCTGCCTCACACCGAACTCTGGGGTTAATGTTTTTGGGGACGGTGAAGGAAAGAGATGTCCATAAAACCATCATCTGCTGTCCGTCCTGCTGCAGATCCGTATCCCCGTGAACACTGCTGCCGTTCTGAGGGCCTCGCTCCCACCTCCACCGCAGCCGGGGCTGATCAGACGGACAGTGGACCCTCAGGGAGCAGTTTAACACCACCTGCTGGCCCACCGTCACCGGCCCCGGGTCCGAGAGCACAGGAGTCTCTGGTACAGCTGACATAACACACAACATTCACAGCATCACTTTATATACTGAGGGAGCTTTTAGAAATATGTAGGGTTGTTTTAGTTGACACACATGCACTTGTGCACATGAAAGGACACAGACATACTCACACACACTTGAACACACACACATAATTTAAATTTTACATTTTGTCAGATTAATTCAGTGATAATATGATGATCTGATGCTGATCTTACTGTGCACAGTGATGTTGATTGTGGCTCTGGTGACCCATGACCTCTGACCCTGCTCTAGGGTCTGCAGCTGGTATGTGTTCTGGTCTTCTCTGTGGATGTGTCTGATGGTGATGGAGCAGTCACCGGCGTTCATATTCCCTGAAAACACGGTCCTGCCCCTGTAGTCTGGATGAAGAGCATCCCTGGGCCTGGTGCTGAACACTCGCCGGGACTTGAATATCATGAACAGGGAGGAGGAGAGTCTGATGAGCTGCAGATCCAGCTGAGCAGAGCCTGGAGACAGACTGAAGGAGCAGGGGATGCGGACACATGAGCCGGACAGAGCGGAGACAGCCGCCGGCGTGGACAGAGACACTGCAGACACCCTGAGTGCAGCCACTGGAGAGAACAATACAACAGAACATGATATAAGATAACCACATAACATGACATGACATAACAGAACACACACATAACATAACATGACAACATCACATAAAATATATTAGAACAGAACATAAAAGAAGAGAATACAAACACAACATGACATAACATGACATGACATGACTAGATATGACAACAGAAAATAACACACAAAATATGACATGACAACATAACAAAACATAACACAACATGACATGACATAACACACACATGACATGACATGACATGACATAAAAGAACATAACATACACATAACATGATATGGCATAACAGAACAGAACAGAACACATACATAACATTACATGATATGGCATAACATAACATAACAGAACACAACATAACAAAACGTAACATGACATGACATGGCATAACATAACATAACATAACATAACATAACATAACATAACATAACATAACATAAAACTGAACAGGACATCATATCTCATCACATCACCACATAACATAACATAACATACTTTAACATGACATAACATGACATAACATAACATGACATGACATGACATAACATAGCACAACATGACATGACATAACATAACATGACATGACATGACATGACATGACATGACATGACATGACATAACATAAC